TTTTCCTTTATTATTTCTTACTAATGTGTCAGTGATGAGAATCAGAGTTTTTACATATTTTGATTATTTAGTTTTTATCTCCTCCTGTGAGAGACTTGCTGAGACATTCCGAGTAGGCGGCCATGGCTCAGAGTGCTCATCCATCAGGTGGTTGGTGGCTCCACCCACCAAACCCCAGGTAGCGTGGAGTCTGGTTCACTTCTCAAGACTTAACTATACAGCAGCAACAACACGTGCTTTAGAAGTACACATTTAGGGTTTTTTTGTTGTGTTTTCTATAACAAATTGGAGTTTCACTCCAAGCTGTTCTGGAACTTTCTCACTTCCTGTGTGTGACAGCAGATATTCTTAGAATGAACTCGTTCAGCAACCCATCCCTGTGACTCTGGTCAGAAATCCGTCATCCACCTCAGAGCTGCAGGAGACCTGCAGAGATTCCACGTCCACTTTCTTGATCCGTGGATAAAAACCTGGCACGTGGACGGTTTTGAAGCTTTCATCTCAGAAAGTACCGTAGTAGCGAGGAGCTGAGAGTGAAAACAAACAGAAAGAACTGTTCAAAACTGTTCAGACAATAAACAGAACTCGTTCAAAGTGGAACATTCAGTTGATTTGTAGCATAAACTATGCTAGAACTGTCTTCATCCTCCTTTCTGTCCATTTATCTAAATGAGTTTGAGACGTTTGGAAGCTCTTTGTCTTCGTTTGGAAGCTCTTTGTCTTCAAGTCGGCTGAATTCCTGCCTGAAACTTTTTCTTCACCCTTCTCATCTTACTGGCAGTGGCCTGGCAGGCGGTCAAACTGAATTCCTGACTGCTGCAGCAGATTTGCCGGCCTGCAGACCTGCACACAAGAGCAGAGAAAGTCTGGGGTCTGAAAGCCATGAAACTCCACCAGGATCATCATGTCAGTGAAGTGGTTCCTGTCCTTCTAAAACCTGAAACATTCCCCACTCAGGATGAAGAGCAGAATAACTACATGTTAAGCTTCAGGTTTTCTGTGGTTTATAAAGATAGAGCTACTCTAAGTTCAGCTGGACAAGAACACCACCTGCAAATGAAAATCACACCTGCAGAAAACTCTAAACATCAGAAATGTTACAGTTTTTCTCCTTTCCTCCAACGGATGTCTAGGATAACAAAGTGGAGGAGGTGCAAGAGGAGGAAGAGGAGAAGTAGGTCTAGAACATCAGGGTGGAGGTGCAAGAAGAGGAAGAGGTGCAGGGGGAGGGGGAGGGGAAGGAGGTGCAAGAGGACGAGGAGGAGGAGAAGGAGTTCTAGGACACCAGGATAGAGGAGGTGGAGGAGGAGGAGAAGGAGGTCTAGGTCATAAGAGAGGAGGAAAAGGAGGACTAGGACACCAGGGAGGTGGAGGCAAAATAAACATACTGCATGGTGGTGCAGTGGTTAGCACTGTTGCCTCGCAGCACGAAGGTTGCAGGTTCGAAACTCGGCTGTGGCCTTTCTGCGTGGAGTTGCGTGTTCTCCCCATGCATGCGTGGGTTTCCTCCGGGTACTCCGGTTTCCCCCACAGATCACGACATGCCCCATAGGTTATAAATTGTAAGTCGCTTTGGATAAAAGCGTCTGCCAAATAAATAAACATAAACATTTACAGTAACTGTCATAACTGTCATAATTGTTACAGGAAATAAATGGAAACATACTGAAACTCAAGAAACTTGAATTCAGTAGCTCAAATGTTACTGTACACAGCAGTCTTACTGCAAGTAACCTACCTGTTTTCCTCCCTGAAGGTTCTGATGATGGAGGCAACAGTGAAGCGACTCACATTTGGCTGGACTTGTTGCCCCGCCTCTCTCATAGTCATATCATTGACAAGGACATGGTCAATTAAAGTAGCCCGAATTTCAGCCGAGACCACTTGTTGTCCTTTCTCTTCCCCTTCCTTGTGGCTGTCGTCCTCAACCTCCTTCTCCACCTCCTCCTCCCTGGTGTCCTTGACCTATTTGACGTCCTCCACTTCCACTTTCGCTCCCTCTTCCACCTCCTCCACTTCCACCTCCACCTCCTCCACCCTTTGGCCCTTTGATCTATTAATCAGAGTTGCTGATTGGTGTTAAATCGTGACGTCTAGTGTTTCCAGTTGGTTAATTGTGTTTTAACCGAGCTCAAGCTGTGCAGACCCCATTTAATGTTATTGACTGCTCGTGCTTTCTAAATGACCACATGGTGTCAGCACTGAAGAATTAGAGATTTGTGATTAGAGTTTTGTAGTAACAGTTCACAGAATTTAACTCATGTTATAGAGCAGGAATAGTGTGTATGGTTCAGGGAAATAGGTGTGCTTTTAGAAAAATTGTATTATGGTTTTGGAATTTGAGTTCAAAAGGTTGGTTATAGTGGTTAGACAATCGAGAAAACCGTTAAACACAGACCAAACAGAAGTTAGCATAATGAGTTTTTCCGTATGAGTTTGTAGTAGAAATGAATTAATCTGGACTTTGAAGTGTAGACCAATATCTAACCTTCCATTTTTATCCAAAGACCTTGAGAAAATAGTGGCCATCCAAGTATGTGAGCACCTAAAGACTAGTAATCTGTTTGAGGAATTTCAGTCTGGTTTTAGAGAGTATCACAGCACTGAAACTGTGTTAGTGAGAGTTACAAATGATATTCTTATGGCCTCAGTCAAGAATCTTGTGTCTGTTCTAGTCTTGTTAGATCTCAGTGCTGCCTTTGACACAGTTGATCACAATGTTCTTTTAGAAAGACTTGAACATGTTGTAGGGATCAAAGGTAGAGCGCTAAGCTGGTTTAAATCCTACCTGTCTGACAGATTTCATTTTGTAAATGTACATGACAAATCTTCTTCATACTCCAGGGTTACTTGCGGAGTACCACAGGGTTCAGTGCTTGGACCAATTCTTTTTACTATATATATGCTCCCAATTGGTAAAACCATTTGACCGCATGGGATAAACTTCCACTGTTATGCTGATGATACTCAGTTATATTTATCGATTAACCCTAATGAACGTGATTGGTTAGTTAGATTACAGGCTTGTCTTGAAGAAATAAAAAATTGGGTGACTCAAAACTTTCTGCTTTTATATCAAGACAAGACTGAAGTTCTCATCTTTGGACCTGAAATCCAGAAAAGGAAATTATTTAGTCAATCACCTGACCTGAATGGCATTACATTAATCTCCGAGAACAAAGCAAGGAACCTTGGTGTTATCGACCAGGACATGTCATTCAAATCCCACGTTAAACAGGTTTGTAGGATTTCCTTTTTCCACCTTTGGAATATTGCTAATATTAGAAGCATCCTTTCCAGGAGTGATGCTGAAAAACTAGTTCATGCATTTATTACATCAAGACTTGATTACTGTAATTCATTACTATCAGGAAGTCCACATAACCATGTTAAAAGTCTTCAGCTTGTCCAAAATGCTGCAGCTAGAGTTCTGATGAGAATTAAAAAGAGAGACAATATCTCTCCTGTCTTAGCTTCCCTACACTGGCTGCCTGTTGAATTCAGAATAGAATTTAAGATCTTCCTAATCAAATATAAAGCTCTGAATAAACAAGCTCTATCATACATCAGTGATCTGATTGTTCCATATGTTCCTAACCGAGCACTTCGCTCTCAGACTGCACGGTTACTGGTGGTTCCAAGAATATCTTAAAAAAGGATGGGAGGCAGATCTTTTAGCTATCAGGCTCCTCTCCTGTGGAACCAACTCCCACCTTTAGTCCCTGAGGCAGACTACTAATTTACCCATTCTTCAGTGACTATTACCTATGTTTATGTTTCTAAAGCACTCGTGCTCTCTCTCTCTCTCTCTCTCTCTCTCTCTCTCTCTCTCACACACACACACACATACACACACACACACACACACACACACAAACACACACACACACACACACACACACACACACACAATGGAGGAAGTGAAGAGTTTGGTTCCTTCTCCAAGAACATTTCAGCACAAAAATTATTTGTATATAAGTGTTCGGGTCACAGTCAAACAGAGGAAATCCAAGACCACGTTCCCCTCTCCAGGAAGAGTTGACAAGGAAGATCATTCTGTGAAGAACTCAGGAATGTCCACAGGGTCCCAAAGGAGCCCGGGAACCTCCAATAAATGTTTAGCAACAATAAATGTAACAGTTCTTTATACCAGGGTTCACATATTTTAACTTCCATATATTCGATATTTGATTGTTTTATTTGGAGCAGCAGTGACTCAGGAGGTAGAATGGGTTGTCCAGTAATCAGAAGGTTGCCAGATCACTCTCAATTCCCTCCTGGGAATTCTGTTGCTGTGTCTTTACGCTAGGTACTTCACTTGACCTGCCCATGTTGGTGGTTGCTGGAGCAATGATGCAAAATTGCAGCCTCACCCTTTTATTAATTTGTTAAAATTTATTTTAACCTCTTCTGTTCTGGCAGCTGAATCAGAATGATTGATCTGGGTGCCCACAATATCATGCCAGAGCAGATTAACCCTACAACAAGAGGGATGTGGGATATTCCTCCTGTTGTGCAGTTGCCTTTATTATGTTTTTTTTTTTTGTTTTGTTTTTTGGGCTAGGGTTCAGGTTCGATAAAACAACTCCATTGTTCCTGACATCACGGTTTTTCTCAGACATATAAACTTACATCAGTCAGGCTAATTTTTCACTAATATCTGGTTTATGATTACTTACATTTTATTTTGTTCAATAACTCATATGCCATGTACTTATAGATTTTGATGCTGTGATTTTTTCTGCCACTGTGACAAAGTGAACTAGTAATAATCTTAATCTGTAATCTCTCCTTTATTGGAGTCTACATTAGAAATGAATCTCACAGAAATCTAGAAAATGCTTGAATTTTTTTCTCTCTAATTAAACCTGTCTCTGAAGCTCCTCCCACACTGTCTGGGTGTGTGTGTGTGTGTGTGTGTGTGTGTGTGTGTGGGGGGGGGGGGGGGGGTTACAAAGGTAGAGAGCTTATGTGAACTGCTCCCTCTCATTCAGCGGGCGACCAACACCAGCTCAGCATCATCTGATTTTTTTGCCTCCTCAAGAATCAGCTCAGAAGCAGAAGCTGGAGGAACAGTCGGTAAGCTTTGGCTGACTGGTTTCAGTCTAACCTAAAAGACAAGTTTGAGTGAGGTAGAAGTTTATTTGTGAACCAGTCACTATTTACTGACTAGTTCATTTTTTTGACAGACTGGATGATAACTGATAACCCTTTCTGTTGAACTAGTTACCTCATACATTAACAGCTGATTGTTTTTAGCCCAGGTTGATGAATCTTTTACCAACCCAGCAGTGTGTGAGTGAAGTCTTGAGAAGATCAACCATTTCACTCTAACCCTAATCAATAACTATTCATTTGTGACCTGTTAGCAAGTCCTCTCAGTCACGTGATTAATGCTGAGTAACAGCAGCTCCAGTTGGATCTGTAATCATCATCATTTCGGCCCGAGTGTGTTATATAAAACTGATTTGGTAACCGTATCCTGGCTGATGCTTTAGTGAGTTAATCCAACAGAACCACTTTGCTGCTGAATTAAGTTGATATTAACTTTTTTTTTAGATATGATTCAGTTTGTAGTGGTATTTTTTTTTGGGTCAGATTGCTAACTGTCTTTTGTACATTCTTGCTGTGTTTGTCTTCAAATTCTATTTCTGGTTCTTTTTTTAACACAGATAAGGTTTTTCTTTACCTTGTTAACGTTTCATTTGCGGCTGCAAACATCCTCAGAGCTGACGCTGATGGTGGCGTCACTTCCTACTCCGTTTATCCGTGGGCAGCAGAGGACATTGTCACCCTCTGCTGCCCGCTCTCCCCTCTCCGATGATGCAGTCCCATGCACGATGAGTTTTTATCTGACGACGGCACCAGCACTGACAGTTTTAGCCAGAATATTTAAAATTTAACGAAGATGCATTAAAGTGCCAAATTATTGACTACACGTCTATGGCAAGATTAGACACTCATTTATATAGTTTATCAGCAAAGAAAAGTTAATTTGGGGGCGACTTGCGCTTTAATTAGTGTTTTACTGGCTGGTTTAACTGAACAAAAATATGAATGCAACATTTTAGTTTTTGCTTCCATTTTTCTGGAGCTGAACTCAAACATCTGAAAATTTGCCTACATGCACTAAACACCCATGACTTTCAAATATTGTTCTGAAATCTGTCTACATATGTGTTAGTGAGCACTTTTCATTTACCAAGATAATCCACCCCACCTCACAGGTGGGGCTGATTAGACAGCATGGATAATGTACAGGTGTGCCTTCGACTGCCCACAATAAAAGGACACCCTGACATGTGCACAGTTTTGCTTTATGGGGCAGAAAACCTGTCAGTATCTGGTGTGGCCACCATTTGTCTCATGCAGGGCAACACATCTCCATCGCGTAGAGTTGATCAGGTTGTTGATTGTGGAGTGTTGGTCCACTCCTCTTCAATAGCTGTGTGAAGTTGCTGAATATTGGCAGGAACTGGAATACGCTGCCGTATACGCCGATCCAGAGCATCCCAAACATCCCCAATGGGTGACATATTTGGTGAGTATGCTGGCCACGCAAGAACTGGGATGTTTTCAGCTTCCAGGAATTGTGTACAGATCCTTGCACTATGGGGCCATGTGTTATCATGCTGCAACATGAGGTGATGGTCGTGGCTGAATAGCACAACAATGGGCCTCAGGATCTTGTCTATGTACCTCTGTGCATTCAAAATGCCATCAATAAAATGCACCTGTGTTCACAGTTCATAACATACCCCTGCCCATACTAGTACCCCACCACCACCATGAGCCACTCGTTCCACAACGTTGACAAACCACTCACCCACACGATGCCATCTGCCCAAAACAGTGAAAACCAGGACTCATCTGTGAACAGAACGCCTCTCCAACGTGTTAAATGCCATTGAATGTGACTGTTTGCCCACTCAAGTTGGGTATGATGATGGGCTGCAGTCAGGTCCAGACCCCAATGAGGATGATGAGCATGCAGATGAGCTTCCCTAAGATGGTTTCTGACAGTTTGAGCAGAAATTATCTGGTTAAGCAAACCGATTGTTGCTGCAGCTCTCCAGGTGGCTGCTCTCAGGCAATCCTGGACGTGAACATGCTGGATGAGAAGGTCCTGGTCTGATGTGGTCACACGTGGTCTGCCTTTGTGAGGCTGGTTGGATGTACTGCCAAATTCTCTGAAACACCTTTGAACACAGCTTATGGTAGAGAAATTAACATTCTTTTCATGGGCAACAGCTCTGGTTGACATATGCTGTCCGCATGCCAATTGCACGCTCCCTCAAAGGTTGCGACATCGGTGGCATTGTGTTGTTTGATTTTCAGGGTGTCCTTTTATTGTGGCCAGTCTAAGGCACACCTGTTCATTATTAATGCTGTCTATTCAACTCCATGATATGCCACGCCTGTGAGGTGGGATGGATTATCTCAGCAAAGCACAGGTGCTCACTATCACACATTTAGTATGATTTGCCAACATTGTTTGAGAGAAATGGTGATTTTGTGTATCTGGAATTAATTTTAGATCTTTAAGTCCATCTCATAAAAAATGGGAGCAAAAACAAAAGTGCTAAGTTTATATTTTTGTTCAGTGTATATAGACACATGCAATATTTGAGAGTCCTGGGTGTTTTGTGCATGTGGACAAAGTTCCAGATGTTTGAATTCAGCTCATGAAAAATGGGAGCAAAAACAAAAGTGTTGTGTTCATATTTTTGTTCAGTGTAATTTAGAAGGTCTATTGTAGCTTATATTTTGGTTCCTAGCAGACTAGTGTGATGTTATTAGTTTGACAGACTAAAATAACCTGACATATGTTGACCTGATTTGCTTTGTGGTTAGGTGACTTTGTCAGCCATCCCTTAGGCCCAGTTCACATAGCAGGATAATAATGTTGATTTTTGACCACTCCTCCACTTCCAATAATCTTAAAGCGCCACTAAACAGTTTCTTGCTTCTCCCTCCTACTGGTAAAAGCTAAATTAAAACTGTTGTAAACAACCCTGCATGCTATATCTAGTGCTAAAAATGAATGTTGATGCTAATTTGAGCCAACTTATACTACAACGAGCCACAGTTGGACAAAAAATATCATTACTCACAAGTGCAGTAGCAACAAAGCTAGGTCACTATCAGTCTGTGATTTTGTAGCCTTCTTTAGTTCCTTCAAACGGTTGTAGGCTGCACCAATGTTCAGTCTGGTTTTAGCTCATTGGTTTGCCTCCAAAGACATATCCCTGCTGGAAAAACCAGCAAAAACCAGCATAGCTGGTTACCAGCATATTTTGTGTTTTGGTGCTGGTTTAGCTGGAACAGCCTACTGGTCCAAGATGGGATGCTGGACCAGCATGCCAGACTAGCATGATATACTGGTAATTGGATGGTGGGCCAACATACTGGTAGCATGGCAAGCTATCCTATAAATGTGAATATATAGTCTAACCAGTACCCGTTGACAGATCTCAGTCATGGGGCAGGCTCTATGGTTGTCTTTCAAACTGTCTCCACATGCTATTAGACAAACAAATAACATGACGTCCTCACCGCTATGGATCCACCATACATGGTTGAAGAAGACACAAATATGTCCTTTTTCTAAATAAAGGGCTTATGTACCTCTAGCTGCTCTTGACTCGAAGAAAGGCCCAGGTCTAAATAGTCCAAAGTTGATTTCAAAACTGTTTCAAACAAGCTGTTGCCATCTTTGCTTAGTCGAAGTAACATCCCACCCACCAAACTGATAGGGCGCTGTGATTGGCCCACCAAACCGATAGTGTTATAATTGGCATGCCACCAGACTGGTCAGGGTTGCGGAAGTTCCAGTGGAGGGTGGCTATATCAACTTGTAGAACAAAATTCAAGATTAATTCCTGAAATGTGTGGTGTGTTAACAGCGCTCTGGTACAAAGGAGACAGTGAAACAGAAAACTGGCTTTGAAAAAGCAAAACTACAACCAAGAGGGACCAAAGGGAGTCTGAGAAGAAAGGAAAGACAGACACAGAAAGGCAGTACAGAAAGTAAAGCCAATCAACTGTCAAGAGTAGACCAATATCAAAACTGTATTATTTCCTGCTATTTCAGCTGTTAACTTTATTTTTTCTCTAAGTGTTTTTCTCCCCAGAAGAAGCTACAATGGTGTTCTGCTGAGCTGTGGTGGCCTCATGGAGGGGGCCATCGGCTTGAACACTGTTGCTAACCACTTAATCATTCTCTCTCTCCTGATAATAACATTTTACTTTCTTTGACATTGAATGTGCTACTACTAGTTTACCCGTTTAATTATAGATTCACTAGGATAAATACAATAAAGTTTATTTCTCACCAAATAGAATATTTACTAAGAAATCACAATGTAACCATAGAAACACTACTTGGTATATATGTTGTGTGTGTGTGTGTGTGTGTGTGTGTGTGTGTGTGTGTGTGTGTGTGTGTGTGTGTGTGTGTGTGTGTGGGCTGGTGTTGGTGTTGGTGTGTGTGTGTGTCTGCTCTGTCTTCTCGATCCCCAGTGAGTCGTGGTGGATGGCTGCTTATTGACCCTTTGCACCGACATCACATAATCACGTGGGTCCACCATGGTGGACAGCAAAAGCATGTAAACAGTGAGCGACACGATTAATAAACAAAGGGAAAAGTAGAGCCTGAAATTGTTTTTGCGATCAAAACAAAAACAAAACTCCTCCAGCATTCCTTCAACTAGTTCATGCCCAGTTCAGTTATCAGAACAAGTAGCGCATCTAGCGGGGGCTCATAAAGAGCGGTATGTTAACTAACTTACCAACGTTAGCTTACGTTCTCTCTGCAGCTGTTCACAGATGTAAACATGTTGCTGACTTTGCCTAAATTCACCCCTCTGGATTTATAACATGTCATAAACAGCGTTTCACTTTACACCAAAGCTGATTTTTAAAAAGTCCGGATCCCTACCAGCTCCTGTTGCTGGTGGTGTTACCGGGTTCAGCTGCTGCTCTCACACCGGAATGAGATCTCTGAACGCCGACGCTCATATAAATAAATAATGTAATTTTAACCACGTAATCATACATCAAAGCTTTAATATTGTTAATAATTGTCTCGCTTTACACTACAGTGGACGGAGCGCAGCCTCCGTGGTGAAATACCCATCCATCAGGATTATCAATAACTTGTATAAACACATCACATTTATCCCTGTCTCTGTCTTCCTCGTGAAATAAATTAACGTTAATCTTACCCGTAAAAACATGTTCGCTTCAAATCTGAGGCCTGATAGTCCGCTTGATTGATTGATCGCTGCAGTTCATCTCTGTCCTCAGTCTCCATCAAAAAGTTATTAAAAAGAAAAAAACGAGTTGAGTTTATGTCCTTGTGTCTTAGTGCAGCCGACCACGCAGCAAGCTAAAACAATTTTACTGTCAAATCAACTAAATAAAAGCGATAAAAGGCTACAAACTGGCTTGTTTTGACTACCTTCACTGGAGTTTCTACGGGTGTAAACGGTCTTTTTGCCGTCCATCTTGGCCAAGGGGGGCAGTCACATGAGTGGCGTGACGTCACATGCAAAAGGTCATTACTGAGCCAGGATCCTCTGGAGGTTTCTTCCTGTTAAAAAGTAGTTTTCCTCTCCACTGTCGCTGCATACTTACTTAGTATGAGGATTGCTGTAAAGTCACTGACACTAGTCAGTGACTTGATGCAATTTGCTGGGTTCCTTATCTAGGAAACTTTTTACTGATTGGCTTAATGAACTGACCTGTATTGGAATGTTTACTATGTGAAGTGCCTTGAGACGACTCTTGTTGTGATTTGGCGCTATATAAATAAACTTGAATTGAATTGAATTGAAAACCAGTCCACCTTAACAACGGTTCACAATCAGGACCTGTAAAGACACCATTATACTGCCTGGACAAGTATACTCACCAGTCCTCTATCTGGACCAGTATGGACACCAGTCTGCTGTCTGAGGCTATTAGAAATGGATTTTATGAGTCTCAAAGTAAAACTATGATGACCTGAAATGTTTGTATGCTGTAAATATCTGACATGTCTGATTTAAATGGTGATTTTTCTGTTTTAGGTGCTGAAATGTCTCACCTGTACTTCCTGCTGCCTCTTACAGGTTATCACTTTAATTGCTCCATTTCTGTCTGTGCCTTTTTCCTTTCTAACATTAGGCGATTTTCTGTTTTTTAGGCCTTTTGTTTTTTATCCCATCATACAGTTCAAGATCTAATGGTAAGTCCTCTGAGATCTCTTTCTAACGATGCTATCACTAATCACCCATCCATTACAGTAAATCACTGGTTAACTGATACAAGTCACTGACCACTCTGTTGTGTTAATTATTTGTTCATTTGTTATTGTCTGCTTATTTGAGTCTTGGGGGCTTGAGGCCCAAACTATCCTCTCCCAACATCCTCCACTAGCTCCATCGGTGGAACCCCTATGGGTTCCCTAGCCAACATGTTCTGGGTCGACCTGGGGGTGCCTATCAGCAAAACATGCCCAAAGCACATCCCCTAAAAAATGTCTAGGAGGCATTCTGACTAAGCCAGGTCAGCTGGCTCTTCTTGATATGGAGAAGCAGAGGTCCTACTCCAAGTGTCTACCAGGTTTCCAAGATCCTCACCCTATCTTTAAGGCTGAACCAAGGTACCCTGTGAAAGAAACTTATTTCTTCAACTTTGGTCTTTCTCCAAAGCTTAAAGGTGAAGATTAGAACAAAGACCAAGTGGTAAACTGAGAACCTTGTTTCTCATGAATAAGTGTCTTTTTAACAACATCTTTCCACAAACACCAACAAAATGTCTGAACTCGGACTCGCCCCTAGCCTGGCAAGCCATCCTTTACATGTGAATATTTAGTCTGGCCACAACCCATTAACAGAGCTCTGTCGTTGGGCGAAACCTACAGTTGTCTTTTAAACTGTCCCTGCAAGCAATTAGACAATGAACAATGCTAAGGCTTTTAGTCAGTGGGGGCAGTCTGCCACACACTGTCAAAGAAAATGCAAATTTTCTAACTGAAGGACCCATGTACCTCTATCTGCTCCCAACTTAAAGAAAAGCCCAATTCTAAATATTCCAAATTTGATGCCAAAGCTGTTTCATACGAGCCGCTGCCATTTTTGTTTTTTCGCTCCGTTGCACAATCCCGCTCACCAAACCGATAGAGCGCTGTGATCGGCATGACTCAAGACTGTTTGGGCCTGTTGAGGCTCTAATGGAGTGTGTGACTAGACTGACCTGCAGAACAAAATCCGTTTGCTTCTGTTACAGTCTGTCTAGATTTCTTGGCTAACTTGCCCCATATCTTTGCAATTGAATTATCAACCTCCTGATCGACAGGCTCCAGTGCAAACAGATAAACATTGCGTCCTCATGCATCACTCTCAGCACCCCAGGCCAGCAGGTACTGTTCCTCCTTCAAGCTGAAGCCCTCTCCTTGCCAGAAATGATATTTCATGTCCTAAATGCCAGTTGTTGATAAAGACGACCAGCTGGGTAAAATGCACAGGTCTGCCACCCAATCCGCAAGGCACAATATCCTACATGTTCCTCCTCCCTGTGGTGTATCCAGTTGAACTCCACGGGTTAAAGCCATGGTTAAAGCCAGCCCAGCCACCATGTGCTTGCTAATTAGCCCCAACCCCGGGCTAGAGTCCTAGAACTCCCCAAAGTGATTTACAACACACCAGTCATTACCTCGTTTACACACTGGTGGAGATGAGCTACAAGGCATAAAGATAAGGAAATCAAAAGTGTAAAATGTGTGAGCAGAAAAGTTTGGTCATTTTTGCTTCAGTACAACAAAAACGTTGATGAGAAAAAACTGAACATATCCTTACACAGGATAATTCAGCAGTCTCTGTTAGTTTGGAATCGTGTCTGACGTTAGTGGAACCTACAGAGCAGGATGACAAGCAGAACATAAATTCATGCCTAGACCAAACTGAGAAAGTGTCTGAAATGTATACTTAATTTCTTACTGTGATGTCGAAAGTTTCCTTCATCCAGTCTTTCTGAGAGACTGGACTCAGACCTGAACGGTGTTGTGAAACAGCATTCTCATCATTTAGGCTGCATCATTAATCTTGATGACTTGTCTCGGTGTCCCTCTTGTCTATATGTCTCTTGGGGAAAGTGGTTGCTCACAGATCCCAGGTCTCATAGGCCACGTGCCAAAGAATCTTGTGTCTGTTCTAGTCTTGTTAGATCTCAGTGCTGCCTTTGACACAGTTGATCACAATGTTCTTTTAGAAAGACTTGAACATGTTGTAGGGATCAAAGGAACAGCGCTAGGCTGGTCTGACAGATTTCATTTTGTAAATGTACATGACAAATCTTCTTCATACTCCAGGGTTACTTGTGGAGCACCACAGGGTTCAGTGCTTGGACCAATTCTTCCAATGCTTCCAACTGGTAAAATTTTTAGACAGCATGGGATAAACTTCCACTGTTATGCTGACGATACTCAGTTATATTTATCCATTAACCCTGATGAACGTGATCAGTTAGTTAGATTACAGGCTTGTCTTGAAGAAATAAAAAATTGGATGACTCAAAACTTTCTGCTTTTATATCAAGACAAGACTGAAGTTCTCATCTTTGGACCTGAAATCCAGAAAAGGAAACTGTTTAGTCAATCACCTGACCTAAATGGCATTAAATTATTCTCCAAGAACAAAGTAAGGAACCTTGGTGTTATCGACCAGGACATGTCATTCAAATCCCATGTTAAACAGGTTTGTAGGATTTTCTTTTTCCACCTTCGGAATATTGCTAAGATTAGAAGCATACTTTCCAGGAGTGATACTGAAAAACTAGTTCATGTATTTATTACATCAAGACTGGATTACTGTAATTCATTACTCTCAGGAAGTCCACATAACTATGTTAAAAGTCTTCAGCTTGTCCAAAATGCTGCAGCTAGAGTTCTGATGAGAATTAAAAAGAGAGATCATATCTCTCCTGTCTTAGCTTCCCTACACTGGCTGCCTGTTAAATTCAGAATAGAATTTAAGATCCTTCTCACATATAAAGCTCTTAATAATCAAGCTCCATCATACATCAGTGACCTGATTATTCCATACGTTCCTAACCGAGCACTTCGCTCTCAGACTGCAGGTTTACTGGTGGTTCCTAGAATATCTAAAAATCGGAAGCAGATCTTTTAGTTATCAGGCTCCTCTCCTGTGGAACCAACTCCCAGCTTTAGTCCCTGAGGCAGACACCTTGTCTACTTTTAAGACTAGGCTTAAAACATATTTATTTGATAGGGCCTATGGTTAAAATCTGATGTTAGCCCAGATCTGGACAAGTGGGGGAGTAGAGGGAGGTGGAGTGTGCAGTCGGTAAAGACGGCTCTCCCTTGCCCTGCCTCCAGCATGCCTCCATTTAAAAGGCTAGGTTACCCAGAGTTATCTCTGTAGTTATGCTGCTATAGGCTTAGACTGCTGGAGGACACACTGACCACTTTCCACACTCGACTACTTTCTTCTACAATCTGCTCTTTAACTGTATTATTTTCTGCTATTTCAGCTGTTAACTTTATTTTTTCTCTAAGTGTTTTTCTCCCCAGAAGAAGCTACAATGATGTTCTGCTGAGCTGTGGTGCCCTCATGGAGCACTGTTGCTAACCACTTAAACATTCTTCCTCTCCTGATATCAACATTTTACTTTCTTTGACATTGAATGTGCTACTACTAGTTTACCCGTTTAATTATAGATTCACTAGGATAAATACAATAAAGTTTATCTCTCACCAAATAGAATATTTACTAAGAAATCACAATTTAATCATAGAAACACTACTTGGTATATATGTTGTAGTTGTGTGTGTGTGTGTGTGTGTGTGTGTGTGTGTGTGTGTGTGTGTGTGTGTGTGTGTGTGTGTGTGTGTGTGTGTGTGTGTGTGTGTGTGTGTGTGTGTGTGTGTGTGTGTGTGTGTGTGTGTGTGTGTCTGCTCTGTCTTCTCCATCCCCAGTGAGTCATGGCAGATGGCTGCTTATACTGAGCCAGGATCCTCTGGAGGTTTCCTCTTGTTAAAAGGGAGTTTTCCTCTCCACTGTCGCTAAATGCTTGCTTAGTATGAGGATTGCTATAAAGTCACTGACACTAGTCAGTGACTTTACAAAAATTGGGCCATCCCTAATGGCCATCCGATGGTATACCGCTTGCTTGAAATAATTTAGGTATGTACTGCCCCCTATCGCCAGGAAAAATACACACAGTCACTTTAAATAAGGTTGATTATAAATTATTCTGTTTGCCAAGTGTTTGGATTGATCTGTTCTCTTGATGAATGTGAATTCTGACATCATGAAGTTGCTTTCTTCCAGGTTTGTACCCAGTGAGCTGTGAGACGCGCGGGTCAGACCTGAAGCAGGATGAAGTCCTGGTTTTGTGTCCTCCAGACTGCCTGCAGGTCAGGCCATCTGTGTTTGGGAGTGACGTTTACGCTGCCATCTCCTCCATCTGTGGAGCTGCTGTACACAGGTAGAACTTAATAATGCCATACATTAGGCCCATTTCCTCTATTGGAATTTCTGAAGAATTTTACTGGACCGTCATGGTATGCACGTGTCTTCATTTCACCAGGCTGGCCTGAAAAGTTCCTTTAAAGTACCTGCCTTTTGGTAGGCTCTCAGCGATGCCCTGGTAGTCGCTGGGTGGGACTTGCTGATTGGCTGTAACTCAGCGGGAAATGAAATAGGTGGAAGTCACCGAACAACTGGCATTTGTAAAATTAGAAGAGATATTCGTGAAGTTGAATATGAGGAAAAGAAAATAGGAAAAGCTTTTATTCATCTTATTATTCTCTTCTGTCATGGGCACCTATTGGTGCTCATCAAAGGTGTTTTCCTCTCCACTGTTGCTAAATGCTTGCATAGTATGAGGATTGCTGTAAAGACACTGACACTGGTCAGTGACTTGATGCAGTTTGCTGGGTTCCTTATATAGGAAAATTTTTTCTGATAAGCCTAATGAACTGGGGTTTCATATATAAAACGTTGCGTAGAATCCTTACTAAAACCGTACTTAAGTTCAACCAAAAAAATTGACTTACGCCAAGTAGGTTTGTGACCTATAAAACATGGAGTATGCACAGCTTCACGCAGTCTCCGCTTTATAAATCAGAGACTAACTAAAAAGGTTCTGAGGTGTTTCTGAATCACATCCCGCCCTTAACACACCCACTTTCTGCCATAAATAGTCAATGCAATGTGCCTTATGGATCTCATGCATATACATAAGCCGGCTCGTTGCAGCATTTCGATCGCGACCGCAGATTAAGGCAGATCAAAGAAGCACTATTTCACAAGCAGAAATTGAGGTACCTGTGGGTGAGGTGGAGAAATGACAGGAAGTGTTTTTGCAAAACAAATAAGAGAAAATCCACAGAGTGGCACAGCGTTGCTGAAGCCGTCAATGCTATGAGTTCTTCAGAGAGATCTGTGGCGGATATAAAAATGGTTCAATCGGGATTCAATCTCCAGACTCCCAGGTGAAAGGCACGTGCGCTAACCAGTCACCCAAACGGAGATCTCCCTTGACCAAGTAGCCATGGCGCATGATCAATCGGGTCACAGTGACAGGACGCTCAGACTGTCACAGACGCATGCCATTCTGTCTCGATCTGTCCCCCTGCTGATATTCAGCATTCCGTATTCTGCGCTTCAGGCTCTGTGTGTGTGTGTGTGTGTGTGTGTGTGTGTGTGTGTGTGTGTGTGTGTGTGTGTGTGTGTGTGTGTGTGTGTGTGTGTGTGTGTGTGTGTGCGTGTGTGTGTGTGTGCGCGCGCGCACGTGCGTGCATGTCGGGGGGTCTTGTTCTGTGTGAAAACGAAGCAGTACGAGTGATAAAGCTGCAGGATTTCGTAATTTTATCCTTCTCAGCAGCAGCACTACAGGAGCTCTCCATGTGCAAAATGTGCGTAAGCCAGGTCCTTAGTCAACTTAAAGTTGCGCACATTTTTCCACTAAGTTTTCTTTTATAAATCCCAAAGTTTGTGTGGAAAGTTGCTTATGCAGTTTTCCGACTCCATTTTGTGCGTAAACAAGCTTGATAAATGAGGCTCCAGATCTGTATTGGAATGTTTACTATGTGAAGTGCCTTGAGATGACTCTTGTTGTGATTTGGCACTACATAAATAAACTTGAATTGAATTGAATCAGTGATGTCAGTCACTGCCAAAACTGTCGCAATGTACTCGTCTACCAGAGAAGCTCAGGGCTGCTGTAAGAGTTTATGTTTTTAAAACGGGTTCAAATCTTTTTAGCTCGGCTTTTAATTGATCTATTTTTTCTATTTTAGCTGATTTGCTATTCTTAGTGTTGGCAGTTTTATATTAAGTTCAGCGTCTTCATGGGAATCCTTCACAATACTGCTAGTTTATCCACGAGGGACACTGCCGTTGGGATGGCTTTTGTCATGGTGGGGGTCTCTGCACTGCAGCCCTATGGCTGTGGTGCGGAACCCGGCCTTCCCTGATCCTGTTGGCTTTGGTGAGAATGCATTTGCAAGATAATGTTTCATTTTTCCAGTTTATTTATTTATTCATTTTCGATCCACTTAAATGGAACAACTGATTGTGCAGTGAAGGGGGGGGGGGGGGGGGGGTGCTGAGTGTGTATGAGATGTTTGAACTGTTTGTTTTTAATCTGTATATATTGTTGTTTAATTCATGTAAAGCACTTTGAGCTGATATTATAATGAAAAGCACTCTACAAATATCCCACCACCACCACCCCTGAAATGTCCCAGAACCTGTCTAGTGGAAACTGATCTATGCATACCAAACCTCCACAGGAGCTGTCAGGGCCTTGTTCTGGGCATTAGATGTGATGTAATAGAGAACAGTGTGATTCCTGCTTTCTGAAGAGCTTCATCAAAATATCAACATTATTAAGGAATGAGCAGGAATGAAGGATTAGACCTTTTCCTTCCCCAGTAAAGACCTGCAGGCCCCCCAACAGGGCAAACTCTGGCTTGTTGTCCTGGGTTTTTACTTTAGCTGAGTTTTGGGATTTACTTTATCTTAATTTTGTTTACTTGTTTATTTTTTGTGGAAAATGTCCTGTTTGTTCGAAAGTGCACCTAATTTGTTCTGCTTCCGTTTGCTGAATGCTTACACCTGGACCGAGTTTCATAACTTCTTCTATCCTGTCCCACACATCATCAGATCAGTGATGTTTCATTTCAGTCCAGTTACAATTTAGCTTTTATCCAAAAGTGAGATTATCTGCCGTGGTTGGAGGATTATACCTGTAATTATAAGTGGCAGCAGCCCTTTTCTTCCCCGCAAAACCTTTTCACATAATCAACACAAAAGACACAACCAATGTATTTATAGTGGTGGCACATTTTTTTTCATGGACCAAACAGCACAACACACACCAGAAACATTATTCCACCTCAGCATCCTCTCTTTGGTATGGGTCAGGCCAGAGGGTCTCATCCACATCACAGGTTATATCAGCGGGGGGGGGGGGGGGGGGGGGGGGGGGGTCTGATGATGGAGGCATCAGTGAAACGAATCACATTTGGCTGGACGAGGTGACGTCTAGTATTTTCAGTTGGTTAATTGTGTGCTAATTAAGCTCAAGCTGTGCTGACCTCAGTTAACATTAAGGACTGTTGGTGCTTTCTGAACGACCACATGGTGTCAGCACAGAAAAATGTTGGGATTTGTGTTTAGAGTTTTGCAGTAACAGTTCACCAAGTTTGACTCATTTGTTAAAGCAGGGACTGGTGTGTATGGTTCATACCACACCAACTTTATTTCTGTAGCACAATTTCAAATACAGTGTGAGAGCTGACCAAAGTGCTGTACAGACAGGTTCAATTAAAACAAAAAGACAAATGCAATAAGGATCTAAACAAGGCTTCAATAGCAGATAAAAACAATAAGAACAATAGATACAACACAACAGTAAAACAATAAAACGATAAAATGAGTCATTTTCTGAAAGCCAGTTCCAAAAAGTGGGTCTTTAAACGAGACTTAAAAACAGGCAAAGAGGACGCCTTACTAAACAGGCAGTGAGTTCCAGAGTGTGGGGGCAGCATGGGCAAACACACGTTCAGCCTGTGATTTGTTGCACATCCTGGGAGTGCAGAGAAGCAGGAGTTCAGCTGACCTCAACTTGTGCATAAAGGTACATAGGGGTGAGCGGGTTGGGCTAGGTCATGTAAAGCTTTAAAAACAAACATCAGTATCATAAAATTTACGTTAAATGTGACGGGGAGTGAGTGGAGGCGTGCCAGGTCTGGGGTGATATGGCTACGTCGACTTGTGTTTGTTAAAAATCTAGCAGCAGCGTTTTGGACGACCTGTACCCGGTTCAGGGCACGGACAGGAGTACCTACAAGTAGTCCATTAGCATAGTCCAAACGAGAGGGGATGAAGGCATGGACTGATTCCAAGTGACTCCGCTTCAGGATCAGTTCTGAGACGGGTCAGGCGGCGTAACAGATAAAAACAAGACCTCACCACTGAGTTTATCTGAGGTATCATTGAGAGGTTGGCATCCAATTTTACCCCGAGGCTTATTACACACTTCTTAGGGTTTAGAGTAAAACAATCAAAAGCAAAGTGAGAGCCAGAAGGATTTATTTCATCTTTAAATCATTGAACTTTAGAAAACTGGCAGCCAGCCAGCCCTTTAGGTCTGCCAAGCGTGCCGAAAAACGAGAGCCCACATTTTTCTCATTCAGTGCCAGATATATTTGACAATCGTCGGCGTAGATGTGATCCTTTAGATTGTACTGGTTTAGGATTTTGCCCAGTAGTAGGAGATGTCTAGAAAAAGAAGAGGCCCAAGAACGGAGGCCTGCAGCACACCCCAAGGCAGTGGGGGACAGGAGGAGGAACATTCGCCAATCTGAACAAATGAAATAAGTGTGCTTGTTGAAAAATAGCATTATGGTTTTGGAATTTTAGTTCAAAAGAATGGTTATAGTGTTTAAGCAACCTAGGAAAAACTGTAATATAATAAAGAACAGATGTAACCAAATGCAAAGATTTACTTTAACTCAAAGAGCGCGTGAAGAGGTGGAGGAGAATGAGGGACAAATTTGTCTCTGTTAAAAAGTCTCTGATATACATAAAACACAATATAAACACAATAGTAAACGCACTATCTTGGACCAGATACATGACAGGATACCACAGAACAGCGCTACGCCCTCTGTTGTCCTGGTGGGGAATTGCTTCACAACACTCCCCAGGAGACGGAGGAGTTCGAGAGCTAAACTTCTGTCTGTGTGAGTGCGTCTCTCCCTCGTGGAGCTGACACAGAAGCATAAACTAGGCTTGACGATAGAGTACTAGAGTCACTTTAGGTCAAATCATTTGTTTCCATCCATCCAGACTTATGTTTATGTTTATGTAATTAACAGACGCTTTTATCCAAAGCGACTTACAAGTGATAATCGGCATGTTGCCCTTGAGGCTAACAACAACAATGACAACAAACAATTTTCAGTCAATCGTAGGTGGCAGTCAGGCAGCATGATGAATCATGGAGAGGAGGGAACAAGGCGTGGACGGTAGAGAGGGGGGACGGGTGCAGGGAGGGTGCTAGTTTAGAAGATGCTCTCTGAAGAGCAGGGTCTTCAGGAGTTTCTTGAAAATTGAAAAGGAAGCTCCTGTTCTGGTAGTGCTTGGTAGGTCATTCCACATTTGTGGAACGATGCATGAGAAGAGCCTGGATTGTCCTGAGCGTGGTGTAGGCACTGCACCATGACTTCCCTCTCCCAAGCCACTTGGGCCAGCTCCTCCAGGGGGCCAGGGATTCCAGGGAGGGCCCCGGGAGGGACAGCTCCTCCGGGGGAATCCCAAGACGTTCCCTGGCCATTCAAGAAACATAGTGCCTCCAGCATGTCCAGGGTCTTCCTTTAGGTCTTCTCCCAGCTGGACGTGCCCAGAAAACCTTATCAGGGAGGTGTCCAGGAGTTATCCTAACTAAATGCCCGAGCCACCTCAACTGGCTCCTCTTGACATGGAAGAGCAGCAAGTCTAGTCCAAGCCACCTCCTGGATAACCAAACTTCTCATCCTATCTCTAAGGGGGAGCCCAGTCACCCTGTGGAGAAAACTCACTTTAGCCGCTTGTATTCAGGATCTCATTCTTTCAGTCACTACCCAAAGCTCATGATCATAGGTGAAGGTAGGAATGTAAATCGACCAGTAAATCGAGAGCTTCGCCCTCTGGCTCAGCTCCCTCTTCACCACAACAGATTGGTACAACACCCGCATCACTGCAGATGCAGCACCAATCCGTCTATCGATCTCACGCTCCATCTTTCCCTCACTCGTGAACAAGACCCAGAGACACTCCTCCGGCTGAGGCAGGACCTCGTCCTCATTAAAAAATACTAGCAAATGTCTTTTTTGAGAGAATCAACCAATTATATTAGTCAGCTGAGCCTTCAAGGAGAAGACCCTTTTGTTATCAGGAATCTGCATCCAAGCTCATACACACATTTTGAGAATAAAGTTAAAAGGTTTGTGAAACTTTGTTTTCGGTTGTGCAGAGGCATCTTGGGTCCATCTGGTGGTCCAGTAAGACTCCAGAAGCAGCAAGGTCGACGCAGCTACGTCAGCTCGTATGCTAACGGAATCCATTCTCAGGCCCTCCATCAGTGGACCGCTTCCTTCCATCTCTCCAGTGAGTTCAGACATTTTGGTGATTCACCGTTAATTGAGATTGAAACATCTTTGACCTTTCTTCAAAGACCCCCCTTGTGCTGACTTTGCACAAATTTAAATGTTTGAGGGTTACAGTGTTTTTTATTTCAGCACCAGGTTGTGAGGGTGTTTAAACTGACAAATACAGATGTAATACACGAGTAAAGCTGCTTAAGAGAGCTTCATCAGTAATGTATCAAACAGTAGTGCGACACAGACACTAGCTTCTGGTACTTGATCTTCATTCTGCATTTGTTCCCAGAAACTGTTGATGCTCCTCTGGAGCTGACCAATTCAGCCAGAGCAACAGCTCAACCTGCAGCCACACGACCTGGTAAGGAACACTCAACACACACAACCAACAAACTAACAACAACACACACCAACAGCCTGGTGTCAGTTATGGAAAGAATGATAATGTAATAAATAACTGTTGGAAACAAAGACTGACATATCAAACTTGTTGTACAGATAATTAGCAACCAGTAGTGTCAAATATAGGATTTAGCTGCAACAATGAGTTTCTGCAGCATCTAATTTACCTGCTGACTCATCTGTTCTCTGGCAAATACCAGTGGAGCTCCATGGGATCGGGCAGTGAGCACAGGGCCCACTTATAAAGTCTGTTTCTACTGGTTTCACATGAGTCACACCAGTGACCTGCTGGAGGTCACGTTGTTGGGCTCATCCTGGTCCTCCAAAAGAGCGGGTTCTGGTCCCAGGGCTCTATTCTTGACCCTCTTATTTTTTCTCTATATTTGACTCTTCTTGGCGCTATTTTTAGGAAGCATGGTCTGTCTTTTCATGACGATTGCCAAATGTATTCTCCATTTAAAGGGGTACAGCGTCTTGAGGAGGTTAGTGTGGATGGCCTCTAATTTTTGAGGATAAGACCTGGGCCCTTTTCTCCCAAGACTGAAACTTATTTTAGACCTAGCGGGTCATCAGGAGTTTTATCTACACCTTCAGATGCGTTGTCACCTTTTGCTATCACAAATTTGGAGGTCATTGTATACTCTGAGCTTAAATTTGATGAGAAGATAAATAATGTGGTCAAATCGTCTTTCTTCCAGTTAAGGAAACTGGCTGAAGTTAAGTTTGTCTTAGTGAAGCAGGACTTGGAAAGACTAATTCATGCTTTTAATACCTTAAGAATAATCTACGGTCTATATATTGCTGTGAGTCAGGGCCGTCTTTCACAACTACAGTTGGTGCAGAATGCAGTGGCACGCCTGCTAATGGTCACCCGCAAGTCTGACCACATCTCCCTAGTGCTGGCTCAGCTTCATTGGATTTCAGTTGTTTTAGAAGTCTTGTCCTTATGTAGGCTATACATTTTCAAATGGGTTGGCACCATCGTACATTCCGGATAATCTTATGGCATCACGACTTCTAAAGTCAGCTGACCGGGAGCAGCTGTTTGTTTGAGGGTGAGACTGAAGCTGAGAGGTGATCAGACTGGCCCAGGCTCTGGAACCTTGCTTGTGACTTTTACTCACGGGCATTTAGCACTGTTTGGTTTAAGTACAACCAGTCTTGACTGACCTTTTTAGTTTATTCATGTTTGTCTGTTTGAAGCTGTGATGTATTTTATATTTGGTATCCTTTAATTATTTTATCTATGCTTGTTTTGGGGTTTTTGTTGTTGTTTTTACTTGTTCAGTACTTTAGTCGACAGAGTTGTGTAGAAAGTGCTATATAAATAAATGTGTATTGGGTTGGTCCTGCTGAAATATAAATGACTGTTGATGTCCCTGTCCAGCTTTGCTGTAGTGTCCTCCTCCATGATCTTGAGACTGTGCTTGGTGACAGCAAACCTTCTGTTAATGGCACCTGTTGGTGTGACCCTAGCTGGATGCTAAACTGCTGAAAAGCTGTGAAAAACAGAGCAACATGTCTGTGGCATCCACCTGTTTCCGAGGTTGTCTCATTGTTCCACCCTAGTGTTCCTGAAAATAACTAATTAACTGTACGATTAAAACCTCACAACATAGATAGTTTCTTTCTCAGTGAAACAGCAGAAAAAGAACAGATGTAGGCATGTCTAGTGTAGCAGGCCAAAATGGCTCCTGTGAATCAAAAGTTGCAGAAGAAGAAAAAAGGATTACAACATAATAAAGTTAGCCTTTTTCCAACTGTGTGTTTATGTTTCAGAAAAGAAAGCAATGAAGTCATCTGTGAAGCAAGGTGAAAATAAAGGTATGACCATTGACTGTATATGTACAAACCCGCCACACCATCACAAGAGCTGAATTGAAGACTAGCGGGTGGTTCCCAACACCGCCATTTTGGTGGCGTCACACATCTTGTCAGTTCAGGAAAATATAAAAATGGAGTTGAGAGCGGGGCTGTGAGGGTGGGGGCAGATGACTGACACCCATCAAACTCCCCTATCTGATGTAGCTATGAGCTAACTGAAGCTAACAGAGGTTGGCAGGTGCTTTTAGGCAAAAAACAAAACAAAACAAAACTAATGAAATGTGGTTGAGTGACTCTGCTACGCTCTGTCTTCTAGGCTGTTACACTTTTAACGTGAGGCAGAGGCTGAGGCGGGCAAGCAGAGGGGCAAGCAGCTAGCGCTGATGGCTCGTCTGCTATTTGGCAATCAAAAGAACACGCTCCTGATCACAATGTCAAGCTTTAATGGATTAGTTATTGTTTTTTTAAACCAGGCTGTAAATATGTTTGTTTCTGTGTTTCTGTTTACTCAAAAAAAGAATGCAAACTGAACGCAACAATTAAACAGAAAAGTATTTGACCATTAATATAGTCATATTGACCCCTACTGGAAGGTCATGCAATCTATCCATCCATCCACCCATCCATCCATTTTCATCCACTTATCCGGAGTCGAGTCGCGGGGACAGTAGCCTAAGCAGAGAGGCCCAGACTTCCCTCTCCCCAGCCACTTGGGCCAGCTCCTCTGGGGGAAGCCCAAGGTGTTCCCTGGCCAGGTGAGACACAGTCCCTCCACCATGTCCTGGGTCTACCTTTAGGTCTCCTCCCGGTTGGACGTGCCTGGAAAACCTCACCAGGGAGACATCCTGACCAGATACCCGAGCCACCTCAACCGGCTCCTCTCGATGTGGAGGAGCAGCGGGTCTACTCAGAGCCCCTCCCGAATGACCGAGCTTCTCACCTTATCTCTAATAGAGAGCCAAGCCACTCTTTGGAGAAAACTCTTTTCGGCCGCTTGTACCCGCGATCTCGTTCTTTCGGTCACTACCCAAATCTCATGACCATAGGTGAGGGTAGGAACGTAGATCAACCGGTAAATCGAGAGCTTCGCCTTCTGACTCAGCTCTCTCTTCACCACGACAGACCGGTACAACGCCCGCATCACTGCAGATGCAGCACCAATCCGCCTATCGATCTCACGCTCCAGTTTTCCCTCCCTCGTGAACAAGATCCCGAGATACTTAAACTCCTCCACTTGGGGCAGGACCTCATCCCTGACCCGGAGAAGGCTTCTTTTCCAAATCAAGACCATGGTCTCGGATTTAGAGGAGCTGATTCTCATTCCATCTGCTTTACATTCGGCTGCGAACCGCTCCAGCGAAAGCTGAAGATCACGTTCTGATGAAGCCAACAGGACCACATCATCTGCAAAAAGCAGAGACCTGATCCTCAGGCCACCAAAACGGATGCCCTCCACACCTTGGCTGCACCTAGAAATCCTGTCCATAAAAGTTATGAACAGAATCGGTGACAAAGAGCAGCCTTGGCGGAGTCCAACTCTCACTGGGAACGAGCCCGACTTACTGCCGGCAATGCGGACCAAGCTCTGACACCGGTCATACAGGGACCTAACAGCCCGTATCAGAGGGCCTGGTACCCCATACTCCCGGAGTACCCCCCCACAGGGCCCCCCGGGGGACGCGGTCAAACGCCTTCTCCAAATCCACAAAACACATGTAGACTGGTTGGGCAAATTCCCACGCACCCTCCAGGATCCCCCTGAGGGTATAGAGCTGGTCCAGTGTTCCATGGCCAGGCCAGGTCTTACAGTGCCTCATAAATCTAAATGAGGATACATTTAGTAGTATAATAAAGCATTTTAAGTCATGAGTTTCTATTCCTGCAATATACCACATGTCATGGTTTTTTCTTTATTTAGATATTTGACCCACATACAAGATGACTCTCAAGAGACCAGGAGATGTAGTAAAAAATTGTTTATTAGAGGTGAGCGGAGGCTGGCAGGGATGGGCTGGTTCCGGAGCTAGAGATTGGATCACTGGAAGAAATAACACATGAAATGATGATCGGGACGGGGAGATATTTATGTAGATAGTGGGGAGAGTTCTTACTGAGATTTGGTTGTAGCGGAGCGTGGGAGAGGTGAGCCGGTACCGGGGCTGTGGGTAGATGTGGAGGTTCGGAGTAGTGAGGCGGGTTGTTGGAGGGTGAACAGGAGACGCACGGAGGAGAACAGAGCCAGGGAGGATTCAGCCGTGGTTCAGGAGATCCGGGAGCTGCAGAGGCTGGTATGAGACTTCCACACAAAGGTGTAATCCAGAACGGGTTCTAGGAATCCTGTGATGACAGACAGAGGTTTCAGGGAACAGACTAGAATAAAACAGGAACAGATTCAGGTGGCTGGACGTTACCACTAAGGCAAACAATCTGGCGCTGAGTGGCTGGTTCACTGGCTCCTTTATTCCTCCCGTCTAATTACATGATGGGCTGCAGGTGAGAAGGGTGACTCTGCAGCCGAGGTAATTAGCTGGATGGAGTCTCCTTATGAGTCTCCCTAGCCCTCCAACAACCTGTGAAGAGGAAATGTGAACCCACAAACCCAGTACCTGACACACACACACACACACACACACGCACGCACGCACGCACGCACGCACGCACACCACCAACAACAACAACCGCCGTATGCAAGATTACAACATTATAATGTAATGTCCCACACACCAAGCAGCCATTCTTCTCATGATGATGATGATGATGATGTTACCAGAGGCTTTACTCTGACTTCGTCTGTTGGATTTCATTGTTAGAAAGAGGTATTTAATAATGAAGTTCCTGTTCATGCATGTGATGGTCCTTAAGTGCTTGGTACAGGAAGACACAAAACAGTCAGGATGTCTGGAGGACACTCCAATCCAGAAGATCTAAATCCTCTGATGAGGATTTTGTAAAGCATCCAGAGAAAGGACGACGGCTGAATCTGCCTTGTTAAAGCTGCCACTGAATATAATGTTTCCAAAACCTTTCAAAATGGAATGTCACCAGCCAGTCAGCCTGACTCAGGTTTTTAGTGTTTGATTTCTTCTTCAGATTGTGCCCAAGCAGGATGTGGAGACAGATGTTTAATCATCGTTTCGGTAGTTCTGGTTAAACTGTTCAGGATCTCAAAAGAAAAGCAGTATCTGGTTGTTCTGGATGGAGAACTAGTAGAAACCCAAACTCCCAAAAACCCAAAAGCTCCTTAATCTTGACTAATTGTTCCTGCTGAAGAAGTTTTAACTAAAATAGTTTCATTCATAAAACAATAACACACTCACCTAATTGTAAGACCAGATAGTACTGTATGTGATTTCCTCTGCACATAAAAATGTGAATTGAATATATGTGTGCTGAACTATACTGGATGAGTGTGTGTTTGTGTTTATGTATGAGCAGACTGCCAGATGGACATCGCCATCATTATGGACAGCAGTAGCAACATCGGCCAGCGGAGATTCAACTTGCAGAAGAACTTTGTTACCAAACTCGCTGCCATGCTGAGAGTTGGACCTACAGGACCTCATTTGGGTTTGATACAGACCAGGTTGATCACACTATTATTATCCCACATTATCCCACATCACCAAATGTTTTAATTGATGCGGAGAGGCTGAGGTAGAATTCTGGCACCTTCACCTGTCTTCTGACCAAATCCATAATGGCTCTTACTGAGTGGTTGTAGACCAGAAGTGATGAGCAGCTAGAGCAGCTATGTTAAATAACGTGCACCATTATGATTCGTGAAATGCAGATTGTAATCTGTAGACGTTTGAGGTTACCATGGATACACGAGGAGAAAACTGATCAGGATGGAAAAAAGGATTATTTAATGTTTCTTCACAATGTTTTCTTACCATATTATGTTGTTAAATTACCTGTTGATCCTATAATTTAGCATCATTTTAATGTAGATGTAATAAAACAAATGATTACATTTATAACATAAAAACACAAGAGCTGAAAGAACTAAAGGGGTTAACCAGGCGGAGAAAAGGTGCTCCAGATGCTTTTGTTATTCACTAAATCCACTAAAACCATTTAAATTTGTGTTTTCATTCAATTATACAGATTTTCTGGGTGTGATTACATATAATAAATAATGTTATTATTTTCTAGAATCCTCAAATCATGAAAATTGTAAAATGTTAAGTTAGATTCACAATTTTGTTTCTTCAGTCCGATCTGATGATTCTGGTTCTGTGCAAGTCTGGATCTGTTGACTTGCCCTTCTAAATCAAGCTTACTAACATGCTTTTGTTGGAAATATTTAAAGGTATCATTTTTTAATTATTATTTCTGATTATAATTGGTCACTCAGAGAATAATTTTTATTTCAGGCAGAAATAAAAATGATCCAACACATACAGCACAGGAAAAAAGCTTGGACACACTTTCTCATTCAATGTGTTTTCTGTGTTTTCATGACCATGACCGTTTACAAAGGGGCCGACAGGTGCTAGACACTGCTGGGAACTCCTTCAAGACTGTTGGAAAACCATTCCAGGTGACTACCTCTTGAAGCTCATCAAGAGTGTGCAAAGCAGTAATCAGAGCAAAGGGCGGCTATTTTGAAGAAAATAGAACGAAAAACGTGTTTTCAGTTATTTTACTTTTTTTGGTTAAGTACATAACTCCACATGTGTTCATTCATAGTTTTGATGCCTTCAGTGAGAATCTCCCAATGTAAATAACGTGAAATACCGTGAAAATAAAGAAAACACATTGAATGAGAAGGTGTGTCCAAACTTTTGGCTTGTGCTGTATCTCCAGCGTAAGCTTCTGATAGAAAACAGACACGGTGAAATGCGAGGATTTGAAAATCCTCACGTCTAGGTCACACTGTGAATTTGCATTCATGGCCTCGCCCGTCTTGTCTCGCGCCTGCCCACGGGAAGACTTTTTCTTTTTGCATTGAGGAGAGAGCGGAGAGAGTGCACGTGTATTGAAGATGCAGAGCAGCTCTCCCCTATACGTATCTGGCTGAACTGCTGCAGCGGCGTGTCCCTGCTCGTGCCCTTCGCTCTGCTAAGCAGGAGCTGCTGGAGGTTCCCTGCTCTAAACTGAGATCAAAGGGGGTTGGGGCCTTCTCAGTAATGGCCCCCACATTTTAAATCATGCCTTAAAACCCACTTTATCAACTAGCTTTCCCCCAACATTGACATATTTTTATCATTTGTATTGCACAGTTTTTAATTGCTTTTATTTGTCTGTTTTTCTTTTTACTGATTTTTATTCAATATATGTTGTTTTTAATACTACTCTGGTTTTTATGTCCTGTTCAGCACCTCGGGCCTCCACTAAGGCGGTGGAAGGTGCTTTATAAATAAATTAATTTAATTAAATTAAATGAGTAAACCACACCTTTATCTAAAATTACTCAAAACATATTTGTTGGGGATTGGTGTGTGTCAACAACCTGAACTTAATTAAGATTTTACTTGTAAGTGCAGTGACTCCCCCAGAACCGAGTTTCTACTGACCAACTTCACTAAACCCAAAGAGCTGCTGTTCGCCATCAAGGAGCTGAAATATCTTGGAGGAGATACCAACACAGGTAACACGCAAGAAACACACACAGCTAAAACACACGTAACACACACAGGTAACATTAGGTAACACACTGGTAACACTCAGGTAACACACACACACAAGTAATGCTGACAGGTAAGCAGAAGTTACAATCTTCTCAGTGTCATGCTGGAGAACGTTCCCAGACAGCAAACTAGAGAACTAAACATAGACATAAAAATAAAGCCATTTGTTCAACAGAAACTTTCTGCTCACCTCCTCAGGTAAAGCCATCATGCATGCAGCAGAGGTGTTCTTCACCCCAGGCAACGGGGTGAGGCGGGGTCACCCACGAGTCATGATGGTATTGATTGATGGTTGGCCATCTGATGATGTCGAACGGGCAGCCATGTTGGCCAGAGAGTCTGGCATCAATGTGTTTATGGTGTCTGTCTCCAAACCGGCAGCTGAGGAGCTCAGCATGGTCCAGGACAAAGACTTCCTGAAGAAGGTTCATTGTTGTCTCAGTTTTTTGGTTTTCTTAGGACTTGTATTATTCAAATGCTGCTTATACAGTGGGGCAAAAAAATATTTAGTCAGCCACCGATTGTGCAAGTTCTCCCACTTAAAATGATGACAGAGGTCAGTAATTTTCATCATAGGTACACTTCAACTGTGAGAGACAGAATGTGAAAAAAAAATCCATGAATTCACATGGCAGGATTTTTAAAGAATTTATTTGTAAATCATGGTGGAAAATAAGTATTTGGTCACTTCAAACAAGGAAAGTCTCTGGCTCTCACAGACCTGTAACGTCTTCTTTAAGAAGCTTTTCTGTGCTCCACTCGTTACCTGTATTAATGGCACCTGTTTGAACTCATTATCTGAATAAAAGACACCTGTCCACAGCCTCAAACAGTCAGGCTCCAAACTCCACTATGGCCAAGACCAAAGAGCTTTCGAAGGACACCAGAAAAAGAATTGTAGACCTGCACCAGACTGGGAAGAGTGAATCTACAATAGGCAAGCAGCTTGGTGTGAAAAAATCAACTGTGGGAGCAATTATCAGAAAATGGAAGACATACAAGACCACTGATAATGTCCCTCGATCTGGGGCTTCACGCAAGATCTCATCCCGTGGGGTCAAAATGATCATGAGAATGGTGAGCAAGAATCCCAGAACCACATGGGGGGACCTGGTGAATGACCTGAAGAGAGCTGGGACCACAGTAACAAAGGTCACCATCAGTAACACACTACAACGGCAGGGAATCAAATCCTGCAGTGCCAGACGTGTTCCGCTGCTGAAGCCAGTGCATGTCCAGGCCCGTCTGAAGTTTGCCAGAGAGCACATGGATGATACAGCAGAGGATTGGGAGAATGTCATGTGGTCAGATGAAACCAAAGTAGAACTTTTTGGTATAAACTCAACTCGTCGTGTTTGGAGGAAGAAGAATACTGAGTTGCATCCCAAGAACACCATACCTACTGTGAAGCATGGGGGTGGGAACATCATGCTTTGGGGCTGTTTTTCTGCTAAGGGGACAGGACGACTGATCCGTGTTAAGGACAGAATGAATGGGGCCATGTATCGTGAGATTCTGAGCCAAAACCTCCTTCCATCAGTGAGAGCTTTGAAGATGAAACGTGGCTGGGTCTTCCAACACGACAATGATCCCAAACACACCGCCCGGGCAACAAAGGAGTGGCTCCGTAAGAAGCATTTGAAAGTCCTGGAGTGGCCTAGCCAGTCTCCAGACCTCAACCCCATAGAAAATCTGTGGAGGGAGTTGAAAGTCCGTGTTGCTCGGCGACAGCCCCAAAACATCACTGCTCTCGAGAAGATCTGCATGGAGGAATGGGCCAAAATACCAGCTACTGTGTGTGCAATCCTGGTAAAGACCTATAGTAATTGTTTGACCTCTGTTATTGCCAACAAAGATTATGGTAAAATGGTAAATGGCCTGTATTTGATATAGCGCCTTCTAGAGTCCTGGAACCCCCCAAGGCGCTTTACAACACAACCAGTCATTCACCCATTCACACACACATTCACTCACTGGTGGGGATGAGCTACAATGTAGCCACAGCTGCCCTGGGGCACACTGACGGAGGCGAGGCTGCCGAGCACTGGCGCCACCGGTCCCTCCGACCACCACCAGCAGGCAATGTGGGTTAAGTGTCTTGCCCAAGGACACAACGACAGCGACAGACTGAGCGGGTCTCGAACCTGCGACCTTCCGATTGCGAGGCGAGCACTTAACTCCTGTGCCACCGTCGCCCCAAAGTATTGAGTTGAATTTTTGTTATTGACCAAATACTTATTTTCCACCCTGATTTACAAATAAATTCTTTAAAAATCCTGCCATGTGAATTCATGGATTTTTTTTCACATTCTGTCTCTCACAGTTGAAGTGTACCTATGATGAAAATTACTGACCTCTGTCATCATTTTAAGTGGGAGAACTTGCACAATCGGTGGCTGACTAAATACTTTTTTGCCCCGCTGTATCTTAGTTATTATCATGATGTTTACTAATCACTCTCCAGCCTTACTTTAAATATAGCAGGTTGATACAGAAAAATTTAAATTTAACCCCCGCACCACCTAACGATAAAACAAGAAAATCTCCAACATCTGCACCTTCTAGAATTCAGAAGGTCGAGTTCAACAGGAATGACTCCTACAGAAGGACCTGCATCGAAACGTCCTTGCTCTTTCAAAAGTAACATTCAGAATTATGGAGCTATTTTTGAGGATCAGTTCTGAGTAGCTTGATTTCATTAGAAATGATCTCATGGACCTTTCAACAAAGGTCTCACTAAATTTAAATAATCTGCATTTTGTGCTCCATCTGCAACATCTGGACCAGGGATGTCCTACTCTAGTCCTCGAGGACCACTGTCTTTCATGTTTTAGTTGCTTCACTGCTCCATCACACCTGAATAAATGGCACAAAGACCTGTTTATCTCAAAGTTCTACAGGAATTGCATTGATCCAAATGAAGCATGTTGGAGCAGAAAAACATCTGGATTTGACCCATTTAGACCCTCTGAACCATCTGTGGAGAAGAGCACAGGTTCTGCGAATTACCAGAATGAAAATAACTGAGACTGGTGGTGACTCCAGGCTGATTGAGTTGTAACTAGCGTAATTTGAACAGGACAAGCTTAAATTTTAATAAATGACAATAAGCGCAGATCTGAGGAGGGATGACAGCTCTTCTTCTTTTCTCCCTGTAGGCGGTGTGTAAAGATAACGGTTTCTTCAGTTACTCGATCCCCAGCTGGTTCAGCAACAACAAACATGTCAGACCTCTGGCTCAGAGACTCTGCTCGCTGGATGATCTGCTCTGCAGTAAGACTATCCTGCTGCTAAAGGTTTAAAATACTTCCTTCCCTAACCTCCATGCTGGTTTCAGGTCTGGACCACCGAGGTCCGTGTTGGTCTGGTTTCAAATCTCCATGCTCCAGCTAAACCACAGATGTGTCGCTAGTAGAGGCAACATCGGACCTAATATTAGAGCTAGTGTTAGTGCAAATATCAGAGGTAACATTAGAGCTCATTAAACATGCACTGCATTAACTGGCATAGACAACTGTGTGGGACTGGTTTCAAAATTCTGCTCCTGCTGATTTTCTGACCATTGCTGCCCGCTCTTTCAGTCTGTTTCTGTCACCCCTGCATGGTACCGCATCCATCAGCATCCACCTGCAGACAGGGGCAGTTCTAGACCAAATTTTCCAGGGGGGCCACAGTGGGGCCAGTATTTTTTCATGGGGGCGCAAGAAAAAAAAATCACAATTAAAGACAATGAACAAGTAAACTATTACAGTGAATGCAGTAATGGTTTACTTGTGAAAGTAAAACTGGCATGTTTTTATGGTACTCAGATAACAATTCTGAATGCTTCACCGCAACATGTGACTTGAGTAAAAAATAATTCTAGTTTATTATTATAGTTTGTGACTTTATTTGAAGATTATATAAACTGTACATATGAAAAATAAACATTCAAACAAATAAAATATGTGCACAATACAATTTGCTTTTTGTAGTCAACACACACACACACACACACACACACACACACACACACACACGTAAGCATAATCACTTCACCAATTGTTTTGATAAACTCACGATTTTCTATAACCTTTTTACTGTGTTCCTTGTCGAGTATATTAGCCAATGTTGTATTAGCTTTCACAGCCCTCTGGTAGTCCCTCCACGCTATCATTGAGTCCTTATGCCTTTCAGACTTTGCATGTACTGAAAACCCCTCCTCTCTCAGTTGCTTCTTTCCAGTTCCTAAATCCACATGGTGAGTCAAACACACTTCCTGCACTACTTGGTGGGCTAAAATGTCTGCATGCATGACAATAAGTAGAGTCCATAGTAACAGAATATTCAGCCCAAGGATAACTTTCATACCAGCTTGGCTGAAAGCTGCATCTTCTGTCTCCTATTAATGTCACTGGAAATGTCCTCAAACTAGGCTGAGTAGGTGGGTGATCCTTGCACTTGCTGATATCTGAAAGAAAATAAATGTTAGCATGAGGATAAAAGTCATAATTAGTTAATTCAGAGTCTTATTTTATTTATTTATTAAATATAAACAACAGAAATGTTGGTCCAGAGTCAGCATGCCTCAAATGCATTTTACACACAATATGAGCTGCAAACACAGAGGGCTTGTTCAACACCCACAAACCTGACGGTAGTGTACACGGTGCACATGACAGAAGATGTCCCTCTTTTTGCTCCTCACTCTCTCCCTCACAGCCTACATCTTCCTCCTCCTCACTCTCAGGGTGGACAGCCTCTGACCTGTCTGGTTCCTCTCCAACCAACTCCTCCTTCTCTCTTTCATCCTGCTTCTCAGTTCCCTCGTGACTTTCATCCTCTCTCTGTCTACGCTGTTCTTTATTAACAGCGGTAAAAAAGGACAAAATGTCCCTTTTTCTTTTCATGGCCGCTGATGCTTCCAGTCAGTGCTGCGAGAAAGTCATAGATAAATGAATACTGTGATCTAATCTCAACGTGTCTAAGGCTTAAAATGCAGCAACTTCATTTTTATTTTACAGTTAATGTTACACAGGAAAAACAAATCAGTATTAACTGTGGATAGACTCAGTTAGGAACTTAAAAGTAAATGACAGAAACGCGCGACTACGACAAAACACAATAAAAATAAACTGTATTGCTTACCTTCGTCTCTTAGCGTCTTTTCCGTTTGGCGTCCTCAAGAACTTCTTCGGGTCCCATTTAAACTATTTTTAACATTTTATTCAAAAATCCACCGGGTAAACAGTTCTGTCCACAGAGTGTGCTGCGCTCTAAAGGCTCCGTGTGAAACGCTGCAGCGCATTAGTTCCCGTCTCTGAGGCAGCGCGCGAAAAAAAAATCCGATCTCTTCAGCACAGGGGCCATAACAGGGGCCAGGGCCGGTTCTACAGGGGCCCAGGCCCCTGTGGGCCCCCGTTTAAAACCGCCATTGCCTGCAGACCCTTTGATTATTAAAGCAATAGGACTTTACTCTAGACTCTTTTTTCTATAGTGTTTTATTTCAGAACAAGCTTTTCTACACACTTTTCCACATTTTTCTTTAGTTTTATACTCTCCAGTCTTAGTTTCATCATCACCCTCAGTTGTCCTCACTTACAACCGCCCACTGCCCTGAGATTTGTGTTGGGTCGAGCAAGATCCCTTTCCCGATGCAGATAAATAACAGCAGCATGATGAGATAGTTGTAATGCTGATATCAGACTGTTGGTGTTTCAGATGTGAAACGGACACGAAGGTTAGAGAGTGTGACCTAAGGACAGCTCAAACTCAGCAGCTGGTTCAGAACATTGTTAATGACTTTAAGTTAGTTTTTTCAAAATCAGTAAAGTAGGAATACAAGGAAAACATCACAAGTAAACATGTTGCTTTTCTGATCTGAAGAAAAACAGGCAAGGCCACATCTCAACCACTGATGATGCACCAGTGGCTGTAAATATTAACTTAAAGGACCTCATGAACTAAATCATGGAATCTCACCATGGAAATAACTTCAACTCTACTTCAAAAAAGTATAATTACCTTTAAGATGTAAGTAAATATAATGGATTACTTTACACCTCATGGTCCCCAGAACGTTAAGGGATGCTATGAAAATGACAGCATGTAATTATTACTTAAAGACCAAGTTCACTGAGAGATTTTTTTTACTTCTTTTTGAAATATGATCTGTCACTCCATGTTTAACATGCAGGCTGAACATGAAAATAGTCTTCTGCACTCATCTCCTGCATTAGCTTCTGATAGAAAATAGACGATGGTACACTTGGATTAGACAAGCTATTAAGATCTGTGACACACTGTCACTTAACATTCATGGACTCACCCATCTTGACTCGTGACAGGGAAGGTTGTTGTTGGTTTAGCATCCAGGAACCATCAGCGCCCGTCTTGGCTAGCAGAAGCTAACCATTAGCATTATCCACTCCACAACACGACAGAACCCCTTCAGGCTTGTGTTATTTTCAGAGATGAAGCATCAAAATTGCAAAGCAAACAGAGTCAGTGGTGGAGTCGTGTTGGTGTTAGCCAATCAAAGGCGAGGTGTCCAAAAGACTTCCAAACCTGCCATCATCTGCTGCTCACCCCTCCGTCCCAGTCCCAGTCCCAGTACCAGTAACAGTACCCACACTGCAGCCTACGGTCCACCTATTGGAAGTGCATGTAAGGCCTGGAATATACTTAGCCTGGCCTGCCAGACTCCTCCTCTGTTTAAATCTGCACAGAGAAAGGGTCTGGGTGGGAACTCTCCTATTCAATTCAATTCAATTTTATTTGTAGAGCACCTTCCACAACTTTATCAGAAGCCCAAGGTGCTGAACAGCATCATCATAAAAACATTCCCAGTACCTGGGCATAAAAGCAAGATAAAAACATAAAATCATAAAATATCAAGCTAACAATATTACAAATACAGAGAAAAAACGGAATAAGACTATTCAATTAAAAACAAATGGTGGACAAAATAAGATCAAGCATCCTGATCAAAAAGAAGAGGAATTAAAACCATAATGTCAGGGCAATTTAAAGAACCCTAGCGCTGAAAAGCAATCAAATAAAAATGAGTCTTCAGACGAGACTTAAAGACGGGAAGGGACGGTGCCTGCCTAATGCTCAATGGCAATTCATTCCACAGAGTTGGAGCCAAAACAGAAAATGCACGATAACCCCTCGATCGATATTTCGACCGGGGGACCACCAGAAGTTCCTGCTCGGCTGAGCGAAGAGACCGAGATGGAGCATACCATATTCAAATAACTCCACTCCTTGAGAATTCTAACCGAGCCAATCAGCGCTGAGTAGCGTATGTCACACACCACAGCGCCGAGTTTGTCATAAACATGGCGACTGAAGCGGAGTTCGCTGCGCCTCTTTCGTCTGTTCTTAATGACTTGGACACGTCTTTGAAACCACAAGTAGAAGCGCTAAAAGAATTTCTTCTAAAAAAAAAGATGTTTGGACAGTTGCCATTTTTGACTACAGCTAAAAAACTACAGAGTTGTGCAGTACAGTCGGCATTTCCGTCTTTTTTCTGATTGGTTATTTTGAAGCTGCCTAGTCCCGCCCCTCATTTGCCTCTCTGCCTGTGAGTAACCACACTCTTTCTCTGTGCAGAATTAAACAGAGGATGAGTCTGGCAGGCCAGGCTAGAATATACTTGCTTATTAACCTCGTGTTTATGCAGACAGTCTTGCTCACATACTTGCTGCTGCACTGCATGTAGTATTGAAGTTTCCACCAGGGGGCACAGTAAAGAACTTAGACCGTTAGAGTCCTGGGTCTAAAACCAAAGCAAATATAGCATCAATAGAAGAGATGTGTAACTGGTTAATTTTGAAATCCCGACAGAAAAAAGACTGCAGCCGTATCACAGACCGGATAAAGACCTCTAAACGAAAGAGGTCTTCGCTCGTTCTGTCGTTTCCCCCTACTGGGTGCTCACACATTGCAGCTTGCAGAAGCGTCTCGTTAATTTTAGAGTAAGCGCACAAACGATGCTTGAAACAGATGCTAATAACGCGAGGTAGCCATGATGAACAGGCATATGCGAAAGTATGCAAACAACTGCCAGTTTGGGAAAGTGAGTACTGTGTTATGAACCGAGACTTCTTAAATGGGGATGCCGGTCGGTTTGTGATAAATTGCTGCTTGAAATGATAATTAAATCTGAATGATGTTGCAATGATTGGGACGTCTGGGTTGGCAGCACATAGAGTAGGTGGACAGTTCATTTGCCCCCGCAAAGTCTTTATTTTCCTTAAGAAAACCCTCTAGTTTTTCATCTTCAAAGCCATGATTTCAGTGCAGGGACAATGCATCGCTGACCTTGAGTCCAGTGCAAAGGGTATGAGTCAATGCCTTGAGCAAACTGAGGCTACATGCACTTCACTTCAGGAAGACAACAAGTGGCTAAAAGTTAAACACTCTGATGGAGCAGGAGACAAAATGTCTGCATCTGCAGCAATGTCTGTTAAAGGTAACCGTCCCACAGCTTTTTTCCTCTCAGTGAGAGCATGTTGACAACTACTCCAAAATTAGGAGCACAGCCTTGCGCCTAAACCAGGTCCAGGAAATAGACCGCACCCTGTCGTCGTGTGCTTCCTTTCAGGTGAAGGATTTGGTCATTAGGGAAGCATGTAAACATGGAAGCCTGGAGTATGATGGCCACAAGATCCAAATCTTTGACAACTACACTGCTGAGGTAGAGAAGGAAAAAGCCAAATATAAGGATGCAATGGCACTGCTCAATAAAAATGGACTTTGTCCGTCTCTCGTCTTCCTGTCGAAGCTGCACATCACACTTCCAGAGTGGTGAGAAGTGGTTCTCTCTTGTCTCAGGTGGTGCGTTTCAGTGATAGCCTGGATAACGTGTCTGATCCACCATGTTCACAAAAAATCAACAAATAAGTAAAAGATTAAAAGAGAGGGAGACTGTGCCAGTTCTGTGAGTAGTTTTGTACCTGTGCTGCTAAATTACATTTTAGGATCTGAATAAACTTTTCAAAAGGGTCAGCACAAGTTGGTGGAACATTATTGGTGAAGTTGTAAAAGTATTTCCTGTTAGATTCCTTTTGTCAAAATTCCCATGTAGCACTGGATTGTGAGTGATACCCTTCACTAAAGTCTGCACTAATGCAGGCTTCAGCAAAACGCAGATCAACTGTGCAAAAGGGTCGGAGCTAGTGTCCACAATTGAGAATGGGGACACCCTAAGCACTCGCACCACTGAACAGGAATGCACAATTGAAGGTCACTAGGTTGGAAGCGTGAGTATTGGGACAGGGCCTCTGGCTAACTTCCACTTCCTGAAACAAGAGTCCCTGAGCTTTTCCCCCACATAGATCAACTCATGAATTTATACTAGGGACCATTGCAGATGTGCTGAAAAATAATAGTGAACCTGGTTGTTAACAATTAACCAATCATAGAAGAGATTATTAAGCTGATGCTGACACATCAGCAGAAGGAGACTGCTGCTCACCTGAAACACATCTGCAGACATGTCCGTGTCCCACAGAACGTCACAGTCACCATTCAGCTTATTTCTTCATACAATGCCCCAGAACTGACCTCCCATCCCTCACCAGCTGTAGACGTTAGAGGGGGGGGGGGGGTCTGGAAAAGCCTGCAATGCTTCTTGTTGTGCTTCAAGACACTAGTGCGAATATCTTAGTCAACAGAATCTTCAACCTTAATGAATCCATTAAACACAATATAAGATGGAAATGATGAAAACTCAGAGATACGGGGCAAACCCTGTTTCACGTGGACAGTGATGATGATGGAGACAGGATGAATGGACACATGGCACTGCCCTAGTTTGTCTCTAACCACATCATAATCTCCTGGACTGCTCCTGTCTGGGTAAAATAAAGTCACTGTTTGTGTTTGCAGGTAAAACCTGCTATAACTCTGTGAACATCGGCTTCCTCATTGACGGATCGTCCAGCGTTGGCTGGCAAAACTTCCAGCTTGTCTTGGACTTCCTGGCAGGAATTGCTCAGAGCTTTGACATCTCTGATGTGGGCGCTCACATTGGTCAGCATCATCACCTGCACACAGTCACTCATAGATGCTTGACTGGCTGACTGATTTGCCTGGCTGCCACTGGTGCAGGTGCAGTGCAGTTCACCTACGAACAGAGAGTGGAGTTCGGCCTGCTGGACCACTCCAACAAAGAGGACGCCGTCAGAGCTCTGAGGAGGATCTCCTACATGAACGGAGGAACGGCCACTGGATCAGCCATCAGCTACGCCACCCAAAACCTGTTCAGGTAACCTGATAAACATGATCTCAGCTGTGTGAGCTCTGATGGGAACCAGGGTTTGTCATTAATGTAGCTGAAGTGCTTCATAATGAAGACAAGGATTTAGTACGGTTCTTTGGTATTTAGGGGTTGATGCACAAATTCAGCCCCATTCTTCTCTACCGAGAAGCTTTATTGGTGGCCACCTGATTTGTTGGACTCAGGCCTAGCATTCTCTCCCAAGGATCACTTCCTTTTGATCTCTGCCTGCCCGGTCCGGTTGTGACCTCCAGGAAGTGACCCAGAGTAGAACGCCTCCTCAGTCTTTTGCCCAATCCCAACACTCACCTCGCACCCTGTGGTCTTCAGCAAAGTGCACTTGGAGAAAGTGCTCAGCAAGGCTTCGAGTGCGTGGTACACAAATGTGCAAATATTTACCAAATTGAAACAGGGAGAATTGCGTCATCGACTGCAACGCATGTCTGGATGCTGTTTGCTGTAATATTTAAAAATAAATAACTTTATTAACAACTTTCAAACAAACAATCAAACGATTGTTTGAAACTGATTTAGATTCATCGCGTCGATGCGGACTTGGGTGAAGTGAGATCAAGATCAAGGGTGCAAAAGGGTGTGATCAGCTTCCGCACTTGAGAATCGGGACACCCTATGTATTCGCACCCCTGGTCGGGGTTGTGCAATTGAAGGACGCAAGTGTGGAAGTGCGAGTATTGGGATTGGGCCCTAGAAAAGTCATAGAGAGGTGTGGCTTTACGCATAATCCATCAGGTCCTGTGAGAGAAAATCTGTAGCTGACCTTTAGCCTAGTTCACAGTAACTCCACCACACCACAACTAAAACCTATTTATGCAGACTTAGAGGTAAACATGTGATAAATAACAATATTACAAGCTGTGTTTTATTATTTAATAAGCTGATTATTCTACAAACCTGCCAGGCTCTAATCTGCAGGCAGCCAAGAATATAACTGATCCCTGGTTGTAAACGTTTTGAGATGCTTCCTTCTGGCAGATGGTTGAGGTCCCTTGGGAGGCAGACATCAAGAAACATCTGCTGATGGACTCATCAATAGACCCCCCTTCTTTCTATTCATGCTCTGTTCATGCATCTGAGTTACTTGGATGTAGTCATGTTTCTGTACATTCTTGCATCACTTTTGCTTGTTTTCTTTGGTCTGACTTGGCATCAAAAGCCAAGACCGTGTGACTCCGTTCCACTTGGTAATACAAAGCCTAATTAGGTGGTAGTTTGGATTAGTTAGGCCTTTAGCTGCCTGGTTAAAATGGGTAGTTTTCTTTCTTCTCCAGACAAGCAGCACGAGGACGCAACTATCTGATTGTGATAACAGACGGCCAGTCGTACGATGATGTTCAGGGTCCAGCGATGGCCGCTCAGAGACAAGGTACAGACGGGTTTATTTAACTTAAATGTTCTCTAGTGATCAGCCAGCCATTGGTCAAACCTTTTCCTTTCATTTGTGGGACAGGTTTGAACACTTTGATTTTATTTTGAAGGTGTAGCAGGTCAACAAGCACCAAAAGGTGGTTTAACCCAAGGGCGTAGGTTTGGCATGGACTGAGACGTGTCCCCACCAATATCCAGCAATGACCAAACAGTCCCCATCAATAATTTGACCGCCTCCACTAAAAAACAACAAGCCTTTCAATGTCTTGTTACCCTAGAGGTACAGAAAGGGTTAAATGGCGTTCTTTCCTCGAGTCCTGTCTCCGTAAAGCACACGGCCAGTGTGATTGGCTGTCACAGGAGACTCACGTGAGACAAAATATGCTGGCTGTTAGCAGCGCCAAACCTTGGAGGAAAACATTCCAGTTGTATGCAAGACTTCTGTGTTTGCAATGCGACGTGAGTGACACATGGGGCCTAAAGCGAGTGAGTGTACCCGAGGGTCCTGAGAGGACGATGCTAACTGTATAAAAGCTGCACATAAAGAGAAGACGACCGCCATGAACTCAGAGAGCCTCTTTTATCAACATCCAACCCACACACTTCCTGTCGTAACAATAAAAGCGCTGTACACCACTTCCTGTCTGACTGTATTAATGAAAATAAGTGTCTCACAAAAGTGGTTTACATGAGGATGGAGGCAAAAAAGAAGAAGGTGGAGGACATAAGGAACAATTTTCCAAAGAAACGTGTATGTCACTTAAAGTTAGGTTTGCCAATGAAGTGAGTCCATCATAATAATGTTATTGCAGTGCTAGGCTTTAGGGCTCGGGATACAGCAGGTAAATAATCTGTCGCTCTGATGAGCAAGTCCCTACCAATATCAAGAGCAAATCTACACCAATGGTTTAACCAATCTCTCTTGTCCAACAATAAGGCATCACCATCTTCTCAGTGGGTGTAGCCTGGGCTCCCATGAAGGAACTCTTGGACATGGCCTCTGAGCCAAAGGACAAGCACACCTTCTTTACAAGAGAGTTCGTCAACCTGTCAGAATTCATCCAGCCGCTGGTTCGAGGCATCTGCCAGGCTTTCACTGAGAACAACTGACACGACTGCAGAAGATGGACACGTCTAAACCTGTGAGGATCTTCACGTATTTCATCAAATCAATCTTTACTACAGTTGACACAAAGTCACAATGAGCGAGGCTTTGGTAGATCCAGAGACAGGTAATGAGATAGAGAAGAACAGAGAACCAGGCTAGAGGACGTGGCGTTGCAGGACTTTGGGTTAGAGGACTTTCTGTCTTTCTGAAAATTGTTTATGTCACTCTGAAGGTCAGAGGGTCTTCATGAGTTCTGCTAGTTTTAGGTTTGACCCTTTGACCGTGTGTGTGTGTGTGTGTGTGTGTGTGTGTGTGTGTGTGTGTGTGTGTGTGTGTGTGTGTGTGTGTGTGTGTGTGTGTGTGTGTGTGTGTGTGTGTGTGTGTGTGTGTGTGTGTGTGTGTGTGTGTGTGTGTGTGTGTGTGTGAGAGAGAGAGTGAGTCTGACTCAGACGTGTAGACTAACTGTTCTCTTTAAATCCTTCACAGGTTCGACAGGAGTGACCTTTAACCTCTGTTGGGATTCTGATTTCCGTCTCATACATCTGCTCTTAGCTGTTCTTGGAAAGAATAATTTAAGAAACCCTTCTGTCTGTTGGTATTTTACATGTTTCATAAGAAAAATTCCTGAGTTCTGCTAAATGTTTTTTCTCCATTTCTAAAAAAATGCATTCATGACAAAAAGTATCTTTTTTTTTATTATTATTTGTTTTTACGTCACTCTGCCATAAAACATTCCCCTTTAACAACACTTTTTTTATCACTGATCCGTTCAGAATCAGATGAAACCTGAAATTTCTGCAGCTTTTACGTAGAGGAAAATAAAGTTTTATTTTTGTCAAGGCTGAATGTATTTCATGTAATTTTAATTGAAAATAAATTTTTTAAAATCCACATTTTTATCGGTTACCCAATTCTCTCTCTCTCTCTCTCTCTCTCTCTCTCTCTCTCTCTCTCTCTCTCTCTCTCTCACACACACACACACACACACAGCTAGCCTGGTAAGCCATCCTATATATGGATAGTCTGGCCACAACCCATAGACAGTGCTTGTCCTCTGCACGCTATTGGACCATGAACAAAGTGACAATCCCACCACTATGGATGACAGTCAACAGGGCAATCCGCCATACGCTGTTGAAGAAGACACAAATACATCAGTTTTCTAAATAAAGGACTTAAGTACCTCAATCTACTCTTGACTCAAAGAAAAGTTCAAGTCTAAATAGTCCAAAGTTGATGCCAAGTCACCGTTTCAAACAAGCCGCCACCATCTTAGTTGTTCTGCTTGGTCGAAACATCCCGGCCACCCACCAAACTGATCTTAGTTATGATTAATAAGACACAAAACTGATTGGGCTAATGGTAGACCTGCTGGAGCGTCGCTGACATGCAGAGCAAAATGATTTTGCTTCAGCAAGTGAGATTTCTAGACTAGCCATCAGCTTTAGGAATCATTTATTTCCTACCTAAAGGTGCATGGTGCAAGAATGAAGTAAGAATGACATCCTCTGGTCAAACTTGGGAACTGCAGTCCATTTTCTAAACACACAAGTGACTCTCATATTGATGTCATTGTCTATGATGGGTTTCCTATCGTTATAAAAACTATTTCCTAGTCCGCTTTGTCTCACGCCCTGAATCGCACATATTTTGTGCTTCAATTTAAATGACAATAAGTTATGTCTGTCACATAATTAGAGATTTAGTTGCTTGTAAAAAATTTGTGATTAAGAAGATTACAAAGTTTATTTGTTTGTATAAAGTTTAAATTACTTTTCATCTTCATGTGATTTGATTGGTGGCCTCATACACAAGAACTCAATTCTTAGCATACGGCTGTTGAGAGTTTGGGTTTTCCGCCCTCTGCTGGAGACAAGTAGTTACTACAATGTTCATTAGCTAAACTTGTAGATCCCTCAAAAATAAAACATACCACTTAAAATTATGAAGTTTAAACTGGCGTTAACAAGATAGTTAGCATTGATTACGGGAACACCTTCACCTGTACAAACTACTGAACCCTTTGGGCCCTGGCGCCTCCCAATTGGCCAGCCTTTGGACTGGAGTTTCGTGTCCCAGCTACAGCTACAATCAAAACAGTTTAGATTGTACACAAAGCAATTTTTGGATTTTGATACATTAAGATAAAATAATACTTGAACTGTGTTTTAGAAGAGCTGCCCTGTGTGAAAGTGCTGACAGGATGGAGGTTGTGAGTTCAAATTCCATTTAGAAAATTTAGTCTATTGTTTTATTTATTCCAGGGATCCTCAGCTAAACTTGTTCAAGGTTTTTTTCGCCAGCAGACACCAGTGAAGACCAGATGCTTTTGTAAAATTAAGTTCAAATATCATTGTATCTTAATTTATTACTATTTAAAATGGCCTTGTTTCCCATCTGGGCTGTTTGATTGTGGTTTTAGTTGTGTTTGGAGAATGTGGACAGTTGTAGATATTTGGGACATGACACTGTAGAGGGCCCCCAATTGGGTGGGTGGGTGTGTGTGTGTGGGGGGGAATTAAAACTCAATGAATCTATTTTAATTGTCGGTGTTCAACAAAATCACATCAAACTACAGCTGGAGCTATCAGCAGCACTACATACATATCGGATCATACACCCTCTGGTGGCAACAAGGCAAAAATAAATCTACACAAAATTAGAAGGATGTTTTTCTCTGTGTAAATTAATTGAATGTATTAATAGGTAGCATAAAATATATTTAGTTATTTGACAGCAAAATACTGTTATCCCCACACTTTGGGATTTATACTTTTTTCAGTGAACTATTTAACTCATTCACTTGCATTTTTTTTTTTACTGTGTGGGCGTTGGAACGAGCCCCCGCACCGTGAGAACAGACATCCCAGCTCTAAAGCCGATCTTCATCTGTGGACGTCACACGTCACATGATTAAGAAGCAGAAAATCCATGTGTTAGGAGATCATTTTTGGGTCGCTGCAGTAAAAAAAGTGAGGTGCGAACCAGAAAAGCTTTTTCACAATTAAACAACAGATTATGAAAGAACGGATAATGTTTGATGTCTTCCTGATGTAAGAGGTGAGTGTCCTGTTTATTTTGTTAGTTTTGGCGTCGACATCATCATAGAGCCTAACGTTCTGACTCTTAAAAAACAGTAAAAATGCTGAAAAGCGCTGGCAGCGAAGGGCTTCACTGATCATGAAACGGCTGGCAGTGAATGAGTAAAATTGGTGGGTCAACCATTTTCCAGGGGTTGCCATGGCCCCCCTCTAAGCCACCCCTTTGGGATGCCCCTGTCTAGCAGAAACTGAGTGTTTGGTACCAGAACAGTTGATTTCAACAAGTTCAGTCAACAGCAATTTTATCATAAATCCTCAAGTCACCATGGCAACAACAGGTAAACGTTTTGGAGCAGACAGTCCTTACAGCTGGTGAATGACCCAGCCACATACTGTAGACCAGAAGGGCTGCTGGAAGCAATGCTTCAGTCTGAGCACCATTAAACTATCATATTGAGTAGAAGAACAATTAGAAGAAACTAGGCAGCTCAGTTTGTTCTGATGTGACTCGGAGTGTGACGTCCAGTGTTTCTGGTCCTGGGCCCCATCAGTCCAGAGCAGCAGCTCAAACCAGGATCACTCTGTTGTGTTGTAAATCTAAACGTTTAAATCGATTGCTGGATCTGGATCAGTTTGGGAGGAGGCGATGGAGATCAAAGATCAAACTGACACACTGCTGACTGAACAGGAACATCATTTAATAGTTATAGACATTTTATGTACATTTGAACAGCTGTATTCTTTGTGGTACAGACTCAAAAACTCACTTTCAGTTTATAAAACTTTAAAAATTAAAATCAAAAGTCACAAATTCATCAGAATTTTTTGTTTTTGTGCGAAGCCTAGAAGAAAAAAACTTTTAACTGGATTAATCATGCAATAAACAAACAGAGAGCTGCAATTCAAACCCGATAGTAGTGTTGTTGAAAGAGTTTGAGCAACTCTGAGGTTTCCTACCGAACATCCGACAGCTGCTTCTCAACAGTTTCTCCTGCAGATTCATGATACGAACACGAGGTAAAAGAGCCTAAGCTGCTGCAGTGCTGAGAGGAGACATGAGGAGGAGGAGTTTCTACCTGAGAGCTGCTCCCCCACCTGAGCTCAGTGTGGTGGGTGAAAAAAAAAAGTTCAGAAACAAGCTGACCTGCTTGTTTCTGAACTTTCCGGTTTGACCCACAGAAGCCACCATAAATTAGTAAATGTCCCTGTTTGAACATCTGTGTGTTCTGCTCGGACAGCTGACCGGTAGGTGCTGCAGAGGGAGGTCAGAACCTCCCGTGATGGGTTTGTTCTGCAAGTAAAAGTCCCACCAGATTCAAAAGGCTTCTGATTTACTTTATTACACTTGAAAAACCTCAGAATGTAAACTAAGACTGGAACCAGATCCAGAGCAGATGACTTAGTGTTTTATCCTGCCTCTCTTCTGCTCTGCAGGGGGCACTCTAACCGGGACTGCCGGTGGGGAATAATCAGTCTATGACAGATTTACTTTGCCATATCTTAACTGGACGGTTAAAAAAAACGAATGAATTTTGTCATTTTTAGCTTGCCATAGCACAACTAAATGAGAAACCTGATAGCCTGAAGAGAGGCTCCTCCTCAGCTGTTGTTCCTCTCCTCCACATGTACTAAAACCTTTGGGCCAGGCAGCAGCAGGCCAGGTCTGCGAGCTGGACAGGAACCAGAACCAGAACCCTCCTCAGTCTGGATAAAAAGAGCTTTATAAAAACAGATTAAAAAACTAGATTTCTCACACTACCAAACATAAGAAACTAAAGTAGCTAAAGCTCTGCTCAGACCTCACAGGCCCAGGTGTTCGGACCTGGACCGGACCTCATCAGAACCACAGAATATCTGACATTTCAACAGCTGTTTGCTCGGTAAGAATTGAAAGACAAAAATCTTTTCACTTTTCTTAATTTAAACCTCTTAAAAACTGTACAACCCGTTTCTGCTGTCAGACTAAAAGAGAGAAACAAACGTTCAAACAGCAGATATTCAGCTGGATCCACTCACCTGGACAGGTGAGTTAGGTTAGGTTCTGTAAAGGGACCCCCCCCCCCCCCCAACTAATTAACCTTTAGTTTGTTTTTATTTACTTCACTGATTCTTCACTCACAGACTCAAAGGAACTCAGAACTCTGAAGTTCACACTTGTTTTTTTTAATAGAAAGCCTAAAGCACTGAACAGATCGCCATGGCAACAGACCTCCAGGATGTTGTGGAACCAAATGCATCACTAAAGCTGCTGCAGGTCGTTCCAACAACAGTCTCATCGTGATGTTTTAACACGACCTGCCCACCCAACAATCCCATGATGCCGCAGGAGAAGCTTCCACCTGTCTCTCTATGGGGGGGTGGTCCTTTAAACCTTCTGGATGCTGAACCGGGGGTGGGAACACTGGGGTCAGAGGTCAGGTGAGCTCTTCTTCTGCAGGTGTAACCGTTTTAAAGTGTTTTGTGTTATCAGTTGATGGAAGCTCCGCCCCTTCAGCGGTCTGTGCTCACACTCGTGTGCGTGTGTCGGTGCAATCCTGATCTGATGGAGAACCTCCCCTCCTGATTTTGCGGGTTTACATTCTGAGTTCAGAAACCTGAACGCTGGCTGGGAGAGACCAGACGAACCCACTCTACTCCAACTCTTCTTCTTCTCTTCCTCCTTTACACGTAGACTCTGGCGAGGGCGTCAGCTCCAGCAGAGGCAATGTAAGCCTTGGAAGGGTGAAAGGTCACATCGTAGATGGCTTCCTCGCTCTTCTTCCTGTGAGCCGTTATCTCCTGTACACAAGTCTTACTGTCCAGGTTCCACAGACGCAGAGAGCAGTCGTGACCTACAGAGATGACCAGAAGAACGTCTGAAATTCAAGAATCGGCACAAAAAAAGTCCAGAAAAAGAGTTTTAAAAGAACTCAGGTGGTTACAGAAAATCTTCTACTGACTCCACCCGGCATCCTGTTACAGGGAACACCATTACTACCCCCACCGCAGCCCCCCAAAGCAAACAAAAGCAGGTAATAAAAGGAATAAACTCAAAAAGACAGAATTAGAAAATAAAAACCATTAAAAAAGATGTGTGTCCAGCTCTACTTGTTAAAGGAGTAAAAGTGGGTTTTGAAAAGCACTGGCTGGTTCCAGATCAGCAGATGTAATACTGGTCTGGTGGTCAGGTCCAGTAGGAAGTGACTTACTGCCGGAGATCAGGTAGATGCCGTTTGGATCTACAGCCAGACTGGTCACTGCATCCAGGTGAGCCACCATGGCGTGGATCACTTTACCTGCGGGAGACGTCACAAAGGGGAAATAAATGACTCAGATGGATGAGTTCAATCTGCAGAAACCCCGACTCCAGACACATCCAGCCCAGTGTCCAATTAAAGAACTAGAACCACACACACACCTGACTTGTTATCAAAGAACTTGATGTTTCGATCCTCATGAGCGGTGATGGTGACGGGCAGCGTGGGATGGCTCACCACCCTGTTGATATGATTCAGACAAGGGAGGGCTGGCAGAGGAGAGAACCACTACAGTTACCACCTTGCAACCCCATGATAATGGTGTGTGTGTGTGCGCGCGCGCGCGTGCGTGTGTGTGCGTGTCCTTACTGCTGTCACCCTGGCCCTTTAGGACCAGTGCAATCTGGGAAGTCTCCAGGTCGTACACCACCACATCTCCACCGTTGAAAGAAACCACCATGTGGGCGGGATCACAGCCGTTGAAATCCACCGACGTGGGGATTCCGTGTTCTGCAGAAGACACATGAAGAAAAACCCTGACCTATCTGACAGAGCTGCTCTGAGTGAAGGAAACTAGTAACCGATGTTCTGCTAGTCGGGAGAGCAGACCCAACAGAACTCTGACCAGAAAGCAACATGGCAGAGAGCGAAGACCTTCAGTAGCAAATACCTGATGGCCTGGTTCTGAAAATAACAACAAGGCTCTCTAGAGTCTAGACTCACCCTTATTGGTGTTGAAAGTGCTGATGCAGGGTTCTTTCTCTGCTGCGTTCCAGAGCTTCACAGTCCCATCAGCTGAGCAGGACAGGAGGCGGTTCTTAATGCCACTGTAGGCCAATCCCCACACGGCATCTGTGTGACCCACCCAGGACCCGGCCATCACGCTGGAATCTGGAAAACACAGCAGAACATCAGGAGAAGATGTGGAGGGGGGGTTGACAGTTGTAGGAGAGGGATCAGAGAGGCACTGGCCCCTGCAGAAATCCGATTGGCGTCCTCAAGTGCCCCTGCCCTGTCACTCATCCGTCCTTTCCACAATTTTTATAAGTAGACGCAATTCCGATTCCAAACACCAGTGGCGTTAATGAGCCAAATAGTTTTCCAGAGTGAAACCTTGTGTAAGGATGTTTGACTAACACTTGGCCCCCCCTCTATAAAAATTATGGCCCCATGCTCAGAATAATCCTAGGTCCGCCACTGTGGGGGTGTCATAGCCTGCACCTTACAACTGGACAAGATATCACGTTTTTAATACACATCCATATATTTTCAAACAAGACACAAGAATAACCAATCAAGTTTAAATCAATATGAATATAGAACCAGTGACTTTCTGCAGTTAGCAGTCACTGCTACTGCTAGCTTGTTGTTTCTATGTCTCTGATGCGTCTCTGATTGTTTTGGAGAGCCGTTTCACCATGACTGACAAGTTTTGTTTCTCCTGTTTGTGTGAAAAGATGAGCCAAACCTCCTTTAACCATTTGGGTCCACATCGCCAGCCCTCCTGCAGCTAAAGGCAAAAAACACCTTTTATGAAAGTGAGAAGTGAGGACTGTGATTAGACCAGGAAGTACCGTAGGTATCGTAAGGGTCAACGTTGGAGCTGGGGATGTTCCACCACTGGATTGTGGAGTCGATGCCACCACTGAAACACTGTTCGCCACTGGAGGTCATCGCCAACGACAGCACCGGACCACTAAAAAGACACGTCACAAAACTATAACAAGCCTTCAGATTTATCTCTAACTTGGGCTAATTATATCTTTACTTTATACTCTTTATTTTGATAATAGTAGCTACAGAGTTGGTTACAAACAGGACTTAAATTATGGGGGAGCTAGGGGTGCCCGGCCCCCTCGGGGGGGGGAATCTGAAAAATGATCTCTAAAACAACTAAATGTGGTTAATAAAACATGTCTACAGTTGGAATCTGATGTGTTAAAAGGAGACGTGACATGTTAATGTTCCACATTGGTTCTGATACATACATGTGACCCCTGAAGGTGTAGACCGGTTCCACGTCGAACGAGGCACTTCTGGAACACAGAATGTCATCACACCTGTTATTGGTGTTCTAAATAAACATCAATCCTGAAAGCTTCCGAGCATTTTACAAACTCCTTATCTGATCATAACACACAACCTGCTAACTGTATATATGTCTGGAAGCCACGCCCCTGGAATATCTAACGAATCAGCAGTCTGAATGTTCTCACCTGGTTCCTAGTGTCTCATTGTGTTTTTCATTTGTAGTTTTTTTTCTGAGTAAAAGAAAGCTGAAGTGTCCCTGGTGAGCTCAGAGGACCTGTGTCTGACGACGTCGTGTAGGTGAGAGAAGATCACAGGAACGACTAAAAGCCACCAACACCCTGAGCTGATGCAGCTCCTGTACCCAGTGAGGGCCCAGAAATCAGAACACATACTTTTTGGCTGGGACGGTCTTGGTGAGGTTCCACAGTTTGAGCGTGTGGTCTTCAGACACTGTGACCAGGCAGGGCTCCACAGGGTGGAACGCCAACCCTCGGACCCCATCAAAGTGGCTCCGTAACGTGTACTTGGGGTTCCATGTCTTCCTGAAGGAAGACTCTTTACTGGAGGAGAGCTGAGGACAAAACCAGAGTGAGCTCATTTATCAGGAATTCAGACAGAGTTCCACTGAGTTTCATTTCCTCACATCGTAGCCAAAGTCCACCTCATCGTTGGCGACGGTGAGGTCAGCAAGGTCCCCCAAACCCAGCACGCTTTCCAGAACATCATCAGACCCCCCCAGTAAGAAGGACTTTCCCCCAGCAGTGGAAAAGGGTAGAGGCTCTGCTGCAGAGAGACTCAGATAAATTCACTTGTGTCCAAAACGTCCAGACACCAACATTCAGACATGCGTCATGTTTTATTTCTGCATTTGATCATTGGCTGGCTAACGTGTGATGACTATCTCACCCCACTCTGTCCCATCACCAGAGCTGCGGGCTTCCCCCGCCCCCTCTCCATCCTCTGCCGTCACCAAGAAATCAAACTCCTTCAAAGCTTCCTCCGTGTCTGCGTCATCCTCTGTTGCTAAGCCCTCGTTTCCTACCTGGTCGACCATGAGAGCAGAAAAAAAAGTTCCAGGAGAATGGAGTACAGGAGGGAAATGGTGCTAAGTCACAGTTTCTCTTCACATACATTTATTTTATGTTTTTTAGCTCGATGGTGTTTGTCCGTAGTGATGTCGTCCATTAGGTCTCCCTCCTCATCATCATCTTCATCACTGTCCTCTGTGTTCTCCAAGAAGTTGAACGTCTCCAAGTTGTCAGTTGGAATTCTGCACACAAACACACATGTGGTTCACACACACGTCCACCCTGGAGACCATGGACAGCTCCTTCAGAGATAGACTGAGACATCCCAGATGTAAAACAGAAAGCTTCTGTGGGTCATTCATCCCCTCTGCAGTAAGAGTGTAGAACTCCTCAGTTTAAGCTGTACTGGTATTATCCTGGTACACAATAGCATCAATGCAATACTCAGTATGTGTTCAATACTTGTGCAAAACCAGATGAACTTAGTATGTCTGCATCCCTTACAGTATGCTGCATGGTTCTGGAACCAAGTTTTTCATTTTTATTTGTGGTTTTTAGTGGTTGAAGGTTACAATACTAGCTTACTGCCTATGTGTGTATACATGTACCTTTGTTATTATTTTTCTTCATAGTATTCTCTTAAGTGTTTATACTGCAGTAACAAGAGAATTTCCCCTCTGTGGGATCAATAGTCTATCCTATTCTATTCAATGTGTTTGCACCATTCCACAACCTGAAAGCCCAAAAACCACTGGTTGAACTTTACCAAAACCCTGAATATTATGGGAACTTCAGATTTCTAAACAAATATGCTTTTAGGAATAATGATTTGATGTTTTAGATTTCTGGAGATCTTCTCCGGTCCCCACCCGTTATTCGTGACCCTCTATGGAGGCCCAACCCATGTCTCAGAAGAAAACTACATCATTACTCCATCTAGATTGGCAACAGGTCCATCTTAATTTCTTCAGACCTTCTGGAAGTCTTTCAAAGGCCACATAGCTCAAGGGATGAGGCAGATTTGTATATAAAATTGTGTCTTTTGGTTCCTAAGTAGCAACACAGTCTGTTCCTGTGTCTTTAGTTTAATCTGTAAAAACAGCAGCAAGACAATGGCCTCTGTTTTATTTTCATTAAACTCAGAAAACTGTAAGCCAGCCAAATATTTACCTCCTCCAGACATGCCAGGAGAATCTTAAAAGCACCATTTTATCCCAGTTTCATGGGGCAATAGCTTTAACAACAGTCAGCATGTAGATGAAAACTCAGCTTATACTTCTGAAATGTCAAGCAGGTAAAGGGTAAATAAAAGGGGTCTGAGGATGGAACCTTGCGGCACTCCTCAGATGAGGTAAGATGGAGCTTTACCAATCTTCATACAACATCCTAGTTAGATAAGACCCCTGCCACTCCAGAGCAATCCCTGAGATCCCTACCCATTGTTTAAGCCTGGTTAGCAAGATGACAAGATCAGCTTTGTCCAATAAAGGACGTAACATTCAGTACAACCACTCTATAGAGAACCTGACTACCTGACAACTCAAATTACTTAAGTACTTAGTTGCGCATTATTTTTAAGTAGCAATTAATTAATAATTACTATGAAATTCATAGTAAATATTGATTATTCCCCCAGATCTATTCATACTATGAATAGATGTGGGGGAATATTACCATCAATAAAACCAGCTGTGGAGCGATTATGTTGCCACAGCCCCATCTAGTGGACAACTTTTGTATTTGCGCATACGGGTAATTATCGTCCATTCATCGTTTTTAATGTGAACTGCTCATCATGCTGTGATACTGATTTGAAGCCACATCTCCCAGCCCTAGATTCAACCCATCAACAGTGGGGGCAGACAGGCACATTCAAGCTTTTCAAAAGTGTGGGGGATGTTGTCTGTGCCCAAAATAATTTCATGTTATTCATCTTGTTAGCTTAATTTCCATAACAGCGGAGCAGGTGCGAATTTTAGACGTGTCACGCATGTCTCCGTTTTAAACATGTTTAAACTGTTCAGAATACAAATCCAGGCTCTGTCTCGTTAGATTGGTGTAACTAAAGGTTGTACTGAATGAAACTTTACATTAAACCATGTTGAAGAGAAAAGGATCCGATTAAATCGTTTCCCCCTCATTTTACAGTCAGTACAGTGCAGTGTGCATGGCTCTGGGGTTAATCAAGTTTAGTTGTTTCTCTTTGCAACAATCTTCACAAGAAGGCAAAACAGTAAAATGGCAGGTTACAGATATTTCCATTTGACTGTTTATTTTGACGGATAAACTCAAGGATGTTGGTTGTTTTGAAAGAATTACCCCGACGCACACTGATGCACACACAGATGAGCTGACATTTTAATCGTTACGCACATCGCGGAGGTAACTAAATCAATCAAGAAATGATTCCCATCAGAACATCAGAGCTTTATACTGGACACTGCTCAGCGCGGCTCGGAGCGCCCACGGTGGACAGTGAGCTGAAGATCTGTAGAGGGGTTTGCAGCGCAGTGCAGAACCACGGCGCATGCGGTAAGATTTCCTCCCACTGAAGCGGTCTGGAAACCCGGTCTCTCTGAGGGATGTGTCACTTGGAAAAATGTTCTTTTTATGAAATTATGAAACTTTGGCTGAACAGCGCTTGTTCCCGTGTCTAATATGGAGACGCATGACGCGTAGAGACATTTGATCACGCACAAAGTTTATGTGGAGCAGAAGCGGTCGGGCCACGGCAGGTGAAATGTTCCTAGCCTACATGAAGTGAAACTGTTTAATTGTAACATTAATATGTTACTGGACATGCTGGTCTGGTTGATTAGACCAGTGTTTGATGTGGAAAACACACGCACACACACACACACGCACACACACACACACACACACACACACACACACACACACACAAATTAAAATAATGCTGATAGCGTGGACTAGAGGACAGGTGATGGTTTACGTATTTAAATGATGATCAGGCTGCTGTAAAATGTAATCTCCATCCACATCCAGACACAATTATCCTCTATTATTTCTCTATTTGCTCTGCTCTTGTCTGGGCTGACGTAGCTGACGGTGCGCGCAGCGCGCCTAGCGGCTGTGATGCACATTTTACGCATTTGGAGAGGTGGGCTGGATGCTTTGCTTTTACTGGAAGATGGATTTTTTTTCTCAAAAATTGTGCCATTACCATCTGTACCGGGTCGGCCCGGGCCGGGTAGCGTAGGTTGTTTACATATCTGGGTGGCCTGGTATTTTTCCGGGCCAACCAAGGCTCATTCTCAGCCCTCTTCTCGAGGGGGTCTGCTTCAGGCCGACCAGGGCCAACACACCCACTGCTGACAGCAAATTCACACCTTCCATTAGAGCAAGCCTCTGATTGGTGGGTAGAATCAGCCCACATGGGCTTAAGACAAGGATGTGTGGAATCAACCGGGCCAGGCTGGGGCCGACTGGGGCTACCCGGCCCGGGCCGACCCGGTACAGATGGGAATGGCCCATTTGTCAGAGATTTTGCCCATGAATAACCGTAAAAACTACCGGTGTGCATGTACCCTTATGAAAGAGTCCTACGTTGAGAGGTAAATATTAGAAGTGGAGGTTCTGGTGCCTATAAATGAAAAATGAATGAAAATTAAATTGGGAGTTTTTACTTCATATTTTAGAAATTAAAATGACGGGGGAAAACATTTATGACGTCTTTTTAAATGAAATTTTCTAGCGCGACCATCCTGCTTCACTTAAGTCACTGCTTATTAAGGTCCATCCAAAATTACCGTGGCCCACCCAAAAATGAAAACCTGGCACCGCGCCTGTTATAAACCTCTGCAAATTGTTGTTCCTCACTTTATCAAACTGAGAGTTTGTACAGCTAATGTCAAGATGTAAAATTATGAATTCAGTCGGGCTCTTCCCTCCCACTCTCTCCTGTTTGGAGAAACAGAAGAGGGAGGGGAAGAAGGAGAAGAGGCAAACAGAGTGAGTGCGAGAAACCAGACTGGTGTGGAGGTGAGCAAAACGGCTGGAAAAGTGTGGGTGTTGAATCCCCCACATCCCCCACGGGTGCAACGCCCATGGGGGCAGAGGCCTGCACATGTCAGTGGGTAAATCACAAAATTACTGCCCCCTACTGGGCCTGCCTCTACCCTGCAGCCAGATCACTTTCTAATAAATCTAATGGAAACAGAAGGTAGATTAGCACAATCACAGTGAAGGAGAAAAGCTTCTACACAGTCAAAGAACTAGAGCTCTGTGTATACCTCTTGGGCTCTTTGCATCGCTCCGTCCCGTTGATCAGGTGCTGCAGATTCTTGTTCTCAACAGATCCATTCTGCTCTGAACCCGACAGGCCGAGCAGAGAGCGGACTTGCTGAGTGCGGACGTCCAGTATCGTGTCTGTGTAACCCACTTCCTGTAGGTACCTGGAACACACAGCAGACTTCAAAGTAAGCCAGCAATGAAGTCTGAAGAAAAATGCACCCTTTAAATAATTCAAAGAACAAGGAGGATTTGGTTATAATAGATTAGTGAATTAAAATGGTCCACTCATATAGAGCCGTTTAAGCCTCCAATATGCTTTACTATCAGTTGCTAATGTGCACACACACACACACACACACACACACAGATCTGTTAGTCCCCAGACTAACTCCAGATCTGATCTCCATCCTAAAGCTGTCTTACTGTCTAAGAAGCTGTCGTCCTTGTTTCCACATGAGCTGACTGTTGGCAGGAACAGCAGAGACATCCGACTCTTTGATGTCTGCAGAGAAAACAAAGACCTGCTGAGTAAATGAAGGTCCCACCGGGACTCACCTGTGAAGGCCGCTTTGTGCATCACCTACCTGACTCGAAGCTCGGCATCCTCACCTCACCCTGGTTCAACTCTGTTCCATATTTTAACTTGTGGTACTTTGCTCTGAGAGGAGCATGCAAAAAGAAATCCCATTACTTTACTTTAAAGAGGAGCAGACTCCTCACAGCAGGAGGAAAACCACAACTGTAAAGTACTTAGTTACATTTACTTTTATTGTAATGTACTTTTGAAAGTAGTTTTAGAAATCTGAAGTTTTGAGTTCATTTTATACTATAACTTTGTGACTGTTAAAAGCTAGCTCACCTGTTACTGAGTAAACACAAAAAACACATCAGAACAAGCTAAAGCTAACACAGCTGGCTCGGGATTGGTTAACACCTGCTGACAGGTAGATCAGCTGCATCAGCAGCTGTTCTGAGTCAGAAGTTAATGCAGATTAAACGAATGCATGAATCTCACCTTTCCTGCTTTAAAGCATATTCCAACATCTTTATTCTTCTGACCAGGTCGTTCTTCAGGTTCTCCTGGCCCCTTCTTTCTCCCTGCAGGAACGCTATCCTGGCCTGGAGACACAAAAACAAACTGTAAACAAGTCAGAGCCTCGATGAACATTTAAGTCACATCAGAAGTTCTTATTTCACGGACCTGAAACTGATGACTATTTTAAACAACTTTAGATGAGTTTCTGGGACGTTTAATCTCAAACTGACGCGCTGGCTGTTTTTTTTTTTATCAAACCACTGCTTATAACTCTAATCAGTTAGCAGTCCAAGTAGCTAGCGGCTAACACTGGCTGGCATCAGCAAGAGGGGCTGGCCCACATCAGCAGCTAGCTAATGATCGAGCTAGTTTTAGCCTCGTAGCTCCTAAGTGGTGCAGAACTCCTGTTTGGACAAAAGCTGCTCTCTCTAAGTATTCAACAGTGAATTGTTTACATTATGGATTAGGGCTCGTCAGATTCAGAGACCACAGCAGTGCAAGGTTCAAATCCACAGGTGTTTGATCTCAAAATGGACTTTAATCAGCATCATTTCTGTTCTTTACATTCACTTTCCATTTCAGTGTAAACATAAAAGAATGTGGTGGTTTTAGCTTCTCTTTTGAAAATGTTAAGGAATAAACTGGAAAACCAAGAATACAAACAGCCTATATGTGTAGTGTGACCTCAGAGGTCAAGAGTGTCCTCCTGCTGCGGCTGTTTATAATTAGCTCAGCGCTCTGGGACAATACGTCCATCTGTCCCATCACATTTCTGATGCGTTTCCACGTGGAGGAGTAGGCTAACACTAGCGCACCTGCTCTGTGTTCAAGCCATGATGTTTAGAACTGAACTGCTCAGATTATTTTCTCCTGTTTGGAGCCACTCTGTGTTGTGTACAGATGGGTTCCCCCGTTTAAAACCGTCTGGTCTCACTTGCACATGCTACCACCTCACTGATGAAAAAATCCAGCCACGTGTGTCTCCCATCACACCACGATTTAAGTAAAAGATAGATGTTGTAGGAGTTCACCATCTTCATCAGCGGATCGCTCCACTTCCTAAAGCTGAGTCTCGTTGCAGCTCCACAATCTGCCAACGCGTGTCTGGTTGTTTAGCTGCAACTGCTGAACGAGCCTCAAACTCTACAACCTCTGAGGTTCAAGGCTGCGTTCAAAATGCAGCATGCAAACCTGGCTCGTCAGACGCACAAAAAATCAGCAGGAAATCAGAATCCACCATTTCTCTGCATGATCAGCTTAATCAGTGATTTTGCTGCCTGCTCTGATAAAAACATATGTGGACTGTTTTTGTTTTTCACTGGTGAAGGCACCGTTACCAAGCATCCTGCAACAAACTCGCCTTCCCATCAGCAACAACAGATCCTTCATGTCCAGAATCAAATTATTCAGATTTATTTGGATCATTCCGTTAAAGACCAAGTTCACTTGCAGCGGTTTTCAGCATTAATAAACACGTTGTGATTCGTTTTCTGTGGGAAAAACACTCTGCGCTCCTGTTTCAGGAACTAGAAGTGACTCAGAGCAGAGGTGAGCAGAAGCCTTCTTTCCAGATATTTGGACATCTCAGCTCTAATTGGCTAACAGCCGCATGACTCTACCACTGACTCTGCTTTGCAACACTGATGTTTTATCTCCACAAATAACACATACCAGAAGGAGTTCTGCTGTGTGGTGGAGTTGCTAATACGTCTCCATCAGCTCCGTGACGGAGAGACGCACACGCATTTACAGAGACATTTTGCTCTCAGACTTCTTCGCCAACAGGGGATTATTGCAAAGCAATTCCCCGCCAGGACAACAGAGGGCGTAGCTCTATTCTGAGGTTTCCTGCCACCATTACAGTCACGTATCCGGTGCACAATAGTGCATTCACTTTTGTGGTTACATTGTTTTAATGTATTTCGGAGACTTTTGAACACGAACAAATTCATCCCGCCTTCACCTCCTCGTGCGATCGGCAACTCTAAACCCACGTTTCTCATCTTTGCTGTCCACAAATAAAACACTTGCTGCATATATTTGTACTCCTTCAGTCACGGGTGAATAAACGTTCATATTTTCAAACTTTTCTCGCGATGCGTTCTTCATCTGTTTCTGGTCGGCCACAAATTTTTTTTTTGAGGGTGGAAAAGGCGGTGCTGTTGACGAATTAACAGGAAGCAGCGTCCCGACCAACCACAAGCTTGTGGTCTCAGTCTCTTTCAACAGATAGTTAAAAATTGGGGTATGTCTCCACACCGACGTTGAAGTATAATGCTAACGGTTAGCTTCTACTAGTCAGGACGTTGTCTGCTTTTTCCTGGATGCTAAACTAACAACAGTCCTCCCCGTCACGAGCCAAGATGGGTGAATCCACCTTTTCAGTGAGACGTAGATCTGTCAGGCTTTTCTAATCCTATGTTTTCTGGTCTTTAATAACAGTTCTTTGGCATTAAATCAGTAAATCTGATTTGACTAAAAATAAAAAATCAGCCATCAGAATCAGAGCATCTCTACCAGATCTCTCAGCAGCAAATGCATGCCCCGCTCCCCCGCTTACCTACATAGAACCAGAAACCTGTTCCAGGTGTTTAAAGAAAAAAGCCGCCGACTGGCTCGACCACCACACTCTTATTCACTTGTAACGTCCAGCAATGGTCAGTTCTCACCTACAGATTGACCTACATGCCACCGGTCATCTGCAGACAGAAAATCCATTCTCTAAAACGGATTTTACATCCTAGCTTCCAACAAACCCAGAAGGATGCTGCAGCCTTGTTGACAATTCAGGAGGAACAAGATGTCAGGCTGTGTTCCCAAACAAAGCCTTCATTTGATAACACCGCAGGATTGCCCACTCTCTGAATAAAGTGACTATTTTCAGCTCATATGAGTTAATCAATCGTGAAATGAAATGAACAATAGTGGTTGATGAATAATAATAATGTCTTGATTAATCTGTGCTTAAATTAATAAGGGTGATTAATCTGTGCTTGAATTACTGAAGTTTGAAATGAATGTTAATATTACATTGAAAGATTTATATATATGATGGTCAGTAAGTTTGATATGACAAGTGAATCATTATCTAAACCCAGACACAAGGTTCATTAGAGATAATCTAAAGTTAAGTTAAATGTCATGACACATAGATATTTTCTTGGCCACAAATCAGAGCATTCTGTATCTGAAAGAAGGCGTGATGTTCTGAGCTTTGCTTGTTAACACCCCTTAACATGGCACGTCCTGGTTGGTCAAGAATCATAATATGATAATATTAAAACAGAGCTCACTTGACGGTGAGTCAGTTCTAGACAAAGCTACGACAGGCCATCTGGAGCGAACTCTCTTTAACCCAGAGCATCTTTCGACAAGCTGTCAAAAACCTGCTACACGCTGAAGCTGACACAGCAAACGGTTCCTGCAGAACTAAGCTCCGACTCCCTAAGAGTCCTTCTAGACGCAAACGATTTCATGTATCTGTTGTGATCCGGGAGACGACTCTGGACCTACCTGGTCGTACTGCGGTCTTTTCTACAAACTTTGGTACAATGGGGTCACCCCCCCACCCCCACCCCCACCCTAGGCATCTCGGATCCGAAACGGAGTCTCCTCAGGGGTACGTAGAACACAACATGATTGCATCTGATGTGGTTTTGATAAGAACCAACTTCATAGTTTAATGCAAACCAAATTCCTTTTCACATCCAGAACTCATTTTCTTCTAGATACAAGGTTCTGACAAACCCACACCATTAAATCACCATACATCACATCCCATCCTCTTAGATTCATCCATCACAGTCGTCCTGGTTAACTTGTCTTGTTTTTATTTGTTTAGAAAATAAATTTCTTATCTTTTATAAACCTGACTCTGTCTGAATTGAGACGAAGTGTGTTGATCCCTGAAAAAGCAAAGAATCCTAGAATCTTCTGATTACACATCCAAAGACCAAGCAGGTTGATATTCTATATTTATATAGAGTATCACAGCTTATTGGTCATAAGTAAAGATAATATATTAAGCTTAAAAGCAACAACATTTACCCTCTACACACTATAGGAACGAGTGCTGGTGAGTAGCGGGGTTGGGACTTAAAACAGAGATTAGTTCAGATGAATAATCTGACTGTTGTTTAGTGAAGTCGTTGCCATCTTTAGGGATGACATCAGACCTGGACCTGGATGATGACAGAATTTGTTTTAATCAGCTCACTGGTCCAAATGTACAGGCCTAACAAAATCATGAGTCATCACAGCTGTAACACACACACACACACAAGCCCTTTCTCCACAACTTTCTACTAAAACAGTAAAACCAAAAACAAAATCAGGACAAACACTTGAAATCGGAACAAGTATTTAACTGAAATGAAGGTGCATGAGTATATTTCTAAGATTTCTGACTGGAGAAGTGTGTGTGTGTGTGTGTGTGTGTGCGTTGAAGTTATTTATGGCAGATCTACTTTTAGTGTTCAGCTGGGCTGGAGCTGTCAGAGCAGGGCCCGGTGGGCCATGCTAAAGCCTCCCATCTTGTAGCCTTCAGCCTTTTGCTTCAACTCAACATTACGTTCTTTAAAATGTCTGTTGGCCTAGACAGTCCTGGGGGTCGGTATCCAGCACGTTTTAGTGGTTTCTCTGCTCCAACACTTGATTCAGTGATTGAATCACCAGGGCAGCAGCTCAGACCTGTTATTTCCTGCTGATTGAAATCAGGTGTGTTGAAACAGTTAAAATTAAAACGTGCTGGATACTGGCCCTCCAGGCCTGGAACTGAATATCCTTGGCCTGGTGTGTGTGCGTGTTTTGTAAGGGGTGGTAAACCACTAAAATTAAACATTGACAAAACCAAACCAGCTCTGACTGACCTCTTTTTTGAATGCCAGTCCCTTTATACACCCGGTTAATAAACAGACAAGAAAAAATATTAAGATGTCATTATTCCGAATAATCCCAGTGTGTTAGCAGCTGTAGGAAGTTACTACACCATGAAGAACATCAATCGACTAAGAACGTGAAGTGTGGCTGGAACAAACGTTCATTTAAAACACCAGCAATTCTCGTTTTTCATCACCACTACCCTCAAATATTAGGAATCACAAAACCCTGAAACACACTCTCCAGTTTCACCCCAACTAATGCCAACATGACAAACATCATGTGAACCAGTGAAGTGCAACAAACTGGTGACAAAGCAGAGCCTAGTGTAAACTACGGTGAAGCAACAGACAGACTGACAGAAGGCCAAAATGTTCTCCTGGTCTGACCTGCTGACCTCAGCGTGTTTCCTGATGCTAATTAATTTCTACTTAATAACTCAGACCGGTGCCAGAGCTCGGTCTGCATCACTGGCAGTAAGTTGGGCTTGTTTCCGGTGAGAGTTGGACTCTGCCGTGGCTGCCCTTTGTCACCGATTCGGTTTATAACTTTTATGGACAGGATTTCTAGGCACAGCCAAGGTGTTGAGGGGACCTGTTTTGGTGGGGTGAGGATCAGGTATCTGCTTTTTGCAGATGATGTGGTCCCGTTGGCTTCATCAGAACGTGATCTCCAGCTCTCCCTGAAGCGGATCGTATGTGAAGCAGCCGGGATGAGAATCAGCTCTTCTAAATACGAGACCATGGTCAAGTCAGGAAAAGGGTAGATTGCCTTCTCCGAGTCAGGGATGAGGTCCTGCCTCAAGTGGAGAAGTTTAAGTAACTCTGGGTCTAGGTCTTGTTCACGGGTGAGGGAAAGATGGAGCGGGAGATAGGTGGACTGGTGCTGCGTCTGCAGTGATGCGGGCATTGTACCAGCTGTTATGGTGGGAGAGCTGACCCAGAAGGCGCTCGATTTATCGGTGGATCTACGTTACAACCCTAAAGAACGAGATCGCAGGTACAAGTGGCCAAAATGAGTTTTCTCTGCAAGGGTGGCTGGGCTCTCTCCCTTAGAGATAAGGTGAGAAGCTTGGTCATCCAGGAGGGGCTCGGAGTAGACCCGCTGCTCCTCCACGTCGAGAGTGGCTCTGGTATCTACTTAGGATGCCTCCCTGGTGAGGTTTTCCAGGCGTGTTCAACCGGGAGACCTAAAGGAAGACCCAGGACATGCTGGAGAAACTATGTCTCTCAGCTGGCCAGGGAACTCTTTAGGATTCCCCTGGAGATGCTGGCCCAAGTGGCTGGGGAGAGGGAAGTCTGGGCCTATCCGCTTAGGCTGCTACCCTTACGCTTATGCTCTTATGTGAGAACCAGACCTCCTGTAGATGAGCACCTGCACCAGAACAACACAACTGGCATATTTCAGACACCTGAGCCACGAGAACCTAAAGGACGGAAGGATTTGTGTCATTTTCTGACTTTTTCATCACCTTTCTGACATTTATGAATGTTGCGGATTTTTACACTCCAAAGGCACAGCACCAACAGTCAGCTTGTATTGAGCCTTGGCTGCAGATGTTTGAGAACTTTATTAGTTTAGAGGATGTGGGGTCTCCCTCTCTCTCTCTCACACACACACGGAGGTGAAGCTGTTATCTGAATTCTGACTCAAGAGTCCTGGCCTTAGCATCACTGCTAACTCCGCTAGCTGAGACGGACCAGATGAGATGACATAATTAAATATACTCGCGGCCATCTAAACCAGGAACCAGTAGCCAGTTTCCGACCCAGAACCGCCCACAGATCACAGTGCAGCTAGCTGCTGTCTAGAGGCTAAGTGTGGTTAGTGGCTAAGTCCATTAACATCAATCATTCACACACCAGAACACCAACAATCTGTTTATTTCAAACCGATCCTCTTCTAGAAGGCTCGGTTCGGTTCTGTCAGTGGGCTGTTTAGACCTACTGTGGTTTTAACTAACGCTAGGTGTTTGGGTAGCCGTGCTATGTGGCTAACCTGGAGTTCGGCCCTCTCCACTTCCCAATGAGCCCGCTCCATTTCGAACCGGGCCCACTCGTGCTGAATGTAGTGTAGGATTCCAGGAATGGTGTACTGCTGCTGCGGCCGGGGCAAGTCATCGGCATTCTGCGACGCCATGACGGCTTCGATCGGTGCTTTTGCACCGCTGCTGCCCTGCTGCGGCCGCGGAGCCGCTCCTCCTCCGCCGGGATGTTCCTCCTTGTTTTAACGTTTCGTTTGGATATTGTTGTTTTATGGGAGGCTTTAGCGACAGTCCACCGTCTCTCTGCCGGCCTCGTGCCTATTTCGGCGGGACCCCTGCCGCCGACGTGGGCGGCTGCTGACCAGGAGCGTCTCAGGGAGAGCGGCTGGTTATTACCGTGGCGTGAACGAGATAATTTAACCGACTGCCATCGCCGCTCAGTCTGGATCTGACTGTCACTGTGAGAGAATCCAGCCGCGCTGCATGATGGGACATTTTCTTCTTGTACAATGATGATTAGTAAACGTTTTCGTGCATTACTGCCACCAACTGGACCGGAGGGTGTATTACCAATAAATTAGTCTTTCCTTCCGAACCTCTTTGTCCTAAAGTTATCTTATATGGAGTCTTCGCCTCGCTATAAAAATGCGGTTCGTTTATCATCATTGAACTTGGACATTACAAATTCCGAGTAGGAACAGTCTCGTAATCGTACAAACTGCACGTGTGATAAGGCGGTGTTACGTCGATATGTGTTCCCCCCTCGAGATTCGGTTTCTTTTGCACCCAGCTGCGAGTTTGAACCATCCACTCGCAAAAAATGTGTTTCTAACCCTTACCCCAACTCTTACCCTAACCATAACCCTGAAACAAACATAAAAATTGCGCTACACATAATATTTTCTAAAATTATATTTATGCTAAACAGAAATTTTTGGTGCCAGCTGGTTAGGGTGAGGATTATTTTTTGTGATTGGATCGTAATTTGCAGCCGGGTGCAAAAGAAACAGATCTCGAGGGGGGAACACAAATCGACATAACATCACATCTTTTCATCAAAGTCTGTTTTGATGGGAAAATGTTTATTTATATAACTAATGTTACAAGTAGCGCCTGCTACTCTAAACTATAACTATTTAAGTAACTATAAATGGTGTTGCCTGGTCAGGAGGTGAGACCACCACCAGGCAAAAACAACTCGTAAAGATAACTTTTATTCATTAATTTCTAAGTGTATTCAGTTATCAACTTTAAAGTGTCTCCGCTACTACCTTTAAGCTGTATGTTTACTTGAGTCTTGATATTTATGTAGCCTTAAAATGTTCATGGATGCATTTATTTATTTATTTGTTTATTTTAAAAAAAATTCATGTCCAGTCTGGCTGTGAGAATTGAAGTCTGAATGCTGGTGACAAGCCTTACAGATTTACTCTCAGGTGGAGCATCAAAGTGTCTGCTTTTATCACGCCTGATACTTAAAACTTTATTGTTATTGTTTTGGAATGCTTTGTAATTCCGACCAGACACGGAGTCAGAGGTGAAAGAGAAAGGAAAAGAGGGGGGGACAAATAAACAATAATGAACAAGAGTTTGCTTCTAGACCTGCAGAAAGAGAAAGGGAAAAAATAATTTTAAAAAATGGGACACACAATACAAAAAGAGCAAGCTATCACTGCGTCAACTTGAAGAAATATACAATCAACATTGTTTAACTGAACAATCACACGATAATAAATCATAGTGCATTTAGTGGCAACGACAGCCTTAAGACATGTGTTGAACGTGCCCAAGCCCATACTTATGAGAGCACCATGTGAGCACCTGTGTGTGTACACACGCTTGTTTATGTAAGGTTTCTCTATAGGAACGTCCAATAGAGAGTGTGAGGGACCACAGATCTGCCCCCCAAAGATGCGCAGGAGACAGAGGGAGCTCCAAGTCCCAGAGATCCAGGTGCTGCCCCAGAATACAGGAACCCCAAGGAGACTACAACCAGAAAGGCCCCCGCCCCCCTCGAGAAGCGCAAAGGATTGCCCCGGGGGTCCACAACCAGCAGCCGGCAGAGTCCCAGAGGCATCAGGTCTCCCCCACCTCTCACCTGGATGAGGATGTTTGTGATGATTCAGGTAAAGCAAGAGAAGTAAACGTTACAGTGACTATTATCAAACTGAAATAGTCGTGTAGTATCATTTTAGAAGATGAAAGAGGAAGAAAAGATATTTTCTTTTAGCTAAAGAGTAGCCTACCGTAATTAGAGCGCACCTCAATATAAGTCGCACCAACAAACAAAAAGGTTTTCTACACACACACACACACACGCTGCACTCAAATACAAGCCGCGGCGCAGCAGCCACATGCAGGTCTCAGGCACACAGCGCATGTACGGCCATAACATAAGATAATTAGACAGAAAGATGCTACACGAAGGTTTTTCGTTGTTGTTTTAATTCAACAAAACAAATTTTAAACACAGGTGAACGTGCCTGCAAGTTTAGAAAAGAAAACAGCACTGATAGCATTCATATTTCTGGATGGTTATAAAATAAAAACAGAACAGACACGTTATTACCGGTAATTTGCATGTTTAGAAGAAAAGAACAGCGCTGACACAGCATTAATAAGCCCTGGATGATTATAAAATAAAAACTGCACACAAAACATGCCTGGTTAGTAAATAAAACACATTCGCTCTCATCTTCCTCTTGCGCACTAAATCCATTAAAGTCCTCTTCTTCAGTGTCGGAGTTGAACAGCCTCAGAAGAGCTTCGTCACATACCTTTTATGTGGCGATGTTAGTGTCGCTGTCCGTGTTGCTGTCATCATCCCCGGGTGAAGCTGGCTTGAATGAGTTCTTCCCGCTGCCGTCTCCAGCGCCGAACCATGGATTCATTCATTCATGCCAAGCTTATGTGCGGCAGCACTGTTTCCCTCCTTTACTGCCAGATCGATGGCCTTCAACTTAAATGCGGCATCATATGAATTCATACGTGTAGTTACCATGATAAGGGTGCATGGATTTGAAAAAAATTATTCGTCGTGCCGGCTGCTTGCATGTGCTAAATTAAAATGAGCACTTTCTTCGATTTCCACTTTTGACTTCCACCTGTTTTACTTTCTGCTAAAGCGCCCCCTGGCAAGTGAAGGAAAATCTTCAGTAAAGCCGCACCTCATTATAAGCCGCATGGTTCAAAGCGTGGGAAAAAAGTAGCGGCTTATAGTCCAGAAAATACGGTAATTCTTACATCATGCGCCTTTCAGAAACAAGACACATTCAGGTCCTTCTCAAAAAATTAGCATATTGTGATTAAGTTAATTATTTTCTGTAATGTACTGATAAACATTAGACTTTCATATATATTAGATTCATTACACACAACTGAAGTAGTTCAAGCCTTTTATTGTTTCTAATATGGATGATTTTGGCATACAGCTCATGAAAACCCAAAATTCCTATCTCTAAAAATTTGCATATTTCACCTGACCAATAAAAGAAAAGTAATTTTAATTAAAAAAAGTCAACCTTCAAATAATTATGTTCAGTTATGCACTCAATACTTGGTCGGGAACCCTTTTGCAGAAATGACTGCTTCAATGCGGCGTGGCATGGAGGCAATCAGCCTGTCTCACTGCTGAGGTGTTATGGAGGCCCAGGATGCTTCGATACACTAACACCATGGTCAGTGAACCATTTACCAGTGGTTTTGGCACTGTGTGCAGGTGCCAAGTCATGCTGGAAAATGAAATCTTCATCTCCATAAAGCTGTTCAGCAGATGGAAGCATGAAGTGCTCCAAAATCTCCTGATAGCTAGCTGCATTGGCCCTACCCTGATAAAACACAGTGGACCAACAACAGCAGCTGACATGGCACCCCAGACCATCACTGACTGTGGATACTTGACACTGGACTTCAGTCATTTTGGCATTTCCCTCTGCCCAGTCTTCCTCCAGACTCTGGCACCTTGATTTACAAATGACATGCAAAATTAGCTTTCATCCGAAAAAAGTACTTTGGACTACTGAGTAACAGTCCAGTGCTGCTTCTCTGTAGACCAGGTCAGGCGCTTCTGCCGCTATTTCTGGTTCAAAAGTGGCTTGACCTGGAGAATTCAGCACCTGTAGCCCATTTCCTGCAATACCTGTACACAGTGGCTCTGGATGTTTCTACTCCAGACTCAGTCCACTGCTTCCGCAGGTCCCCCAAGGTCCGGAATCGGTCCTTCTCCACAATCTTCCTCAGGGTCCGGTCACCTCTTCTCATTGTGCAGCGTTTTCTGCCACACTTTTTCCTTCCCACAGACTTCCCACTGATGTGCCTTGATACAGTACTCTGGGAACAGCCTATCCATTCAGAAATTTATTTCTGTGTTTTACCCTCTTGCTTGAGGGTGTCAATGATGGCCTTCTGGACAGCAGTCAGGTCGGCAGTCTTACCCATGATTGCGCTTTTGAGTAATGAACCAGGCTGGGAGTTTTGAAAGCCTCAGGAATCTTTTGCAGGTATTTAGAGTTCATTAGTTGATTCAGATGATTAGGTTAATAGCTCGATTAGAGAACCTTTTCATGATATGCTAATTTTTTGAGATAGGAATTTTGGGTTTTCGTGAGCTGTATGCCAAAATCATCAATATTAGAAACAATAAAAGGCTTGAACTACTTCAGTTGTGTGTAATGAATCTAATATATATGAAAGTCTAATGTTTATCAGTACATTACAGAAAAAAATAACTTTATCACAATATGCTAATTTTTTGAGAAGGACCTGTACAATTCAACACCTGGTACAGATGTAATTTACAGAGCAAGCACAATTGTTTGTGAACATACCTAGACAGATGCTGAGTTGGCAACCTTTCTCATGGCCAAGTAAGTCTTTGAAACACGCGCGCGCACACACACACACACACGCACGCACGCATGTACACACACACACAAACACACACACATGCACGCATGTACACACAGACACACACACACACATGCACGCACACACACAATGTGACAATAATATTTGTAAAACAATGTGTTTACCTCTACTGGCTGGCTAAAGTTGTGTGTTCATGAACGAAAGACGTTGCTTACAGCTTTAAACTCGGAAGACTTAAGAATCACACTACATGGTGTCATTGGATTAAAAAAACTTCAGATTTCTTTTTTAAAGACTCAACAAACAACAAGCTGCAGCAGAAGCATCAGATATTTTCTGTGATTTTCCACTTCACAAATATTTTGCAGAACGGCTAGTTATGTTCTCGGTAGTCCAGTGGGACCCCCAGAAATATTTCATGGCTGTTAGTGGCTAGTGAAAGTTTGGGGTTGCACACCAAGTTGGTCCCTGTGGTAACTCGATCTGGGAGAGTTTAGCCTGTGCATTATATTGCTCTTTCATTCTTCACTAGAAAAAAATAGACCTATTCATCCAACACATTTACCTCAAATATGTATTAAAATGTATGTATTAACTTTGTCTTGATTAAAGAAGATTAATGAATTATTTGTATGATCAAGAATGTAATGGGGGTCCTTACCTAAGGGGGGCCAGTGGAGTGGCCAACAATTTTCTAGGTGTGGCACTGCAGTAATCTGTTTAATCTCGAACAGGTCTGGTTAGACAATAAACGCCGACACAGAATGTTTGACCTCTCACGGTTGCCGTAGTTCCGTACGTCATCAACATACGTCTTCACAAACATCTTCCACTAACTACGCCATCTCTGCTGTGGATGATGTGACCCTACAGCTGGACTCCTGCAGGATGATCAAGTTCCTGCTGATGGTGAACCAGCAGGGTCAGACCCGACTCTCCCGGTACTTCGAGCCCGTAGAACTGAACCGGAGAGCGGCGCAGGAAGCCGCCGTCGTCCGCTGCTGTCTGAGCCGTAACAAGGAGCAGGTACCGGTCTGCCCGGTGTCGCCCCGTCCCCGTGTGTCAGAACCAGAACAGTAAACGGTTCTTGTATGTTCCAGTGCTCGTTTGTGGAGTACCAGGACTTTAAGCTGGTGTACCGGCAGTACGCGGCCCTGTACGTGGTGGTCGGAGTGTCTCACACTGAGGTGAAGGTCCAGTTCCGAACCGAATCGACCTATTGGTTCTTCTCTACTTATGGTTTGTTTGTCTGAACTTCCACAGAATGAACTGTCCATCTTTGAGCTGATCCAGAACTTTGTGGAGGTTCTGGATAGATACTTCAGTCGCGTGGTGAGTTAAATATATCAGAATAAAATAAACACTCATCAGAAACTGTTACCAACCTGGATTAAATCACACGTTTCTCCTCATGGCGCACATGCTGGGTGTGTGTGACCATGGGATTGAAAGTGTTAGACTGACAACCATTAATCTGGCTCAGATTAAACGTTTAAGAGGGCAGTCTTAGACCAGTGGAACATGGTTCCGACCCAGATCCATGTTGGACTTGACTGGTTCTGATGTTCTTCAGTTTGGCCTGAGTGTGTCTGTTTGTGTCTCTGCAGAGTGAACTGGATGTATCCTTTAAGAGCAGCACCAGCTGATCGAGTCCAACAGGATAAAAAAACCTCATCAGTTCCCAAAAGGGGAAAAAATATAGGAAGTCATGGAAGATACACAAATAAATGAATGTAGAGATGTAAAAGCAAACATGGCTTCTGATCAGGAGATCCAGTAACCTGCTGAGTCATCATCTGCTTCTGAAAATGTTCATAGATTCATTTTTATGCTGTTCCCTCTGAGCCAATCAGGTTGGCGCGTATCATGTCTACTTCCTGTTAGGTCAATCCGCTGTTACCGTTTCTGATGAGAGGTACTGGTGGAGTGAGGATTTATTAAGTTATTTGCATCAAAAGTTTTCCAAATTTGATTTAAGGGGAAGTCGGCAGCAGATTAGAGGAGGCTAAATCAGAAACTTGAAGGGAGACGAGAAAACACGAGGTTAAATTATAAATCCACATTATTTATTCCCATTGTAGCACTTTTTTTTGTATGTTTTTTATAATCCCAGACACTGTCTGATTCAACTAAAGGCACAGCTGGAGGTGGATTCCAGCTCCTCACATCCCTACTTGGGAATAATTTGTTCAGGAAACAAATGTTGGCTTTTCCTTGACCAGGCGACTGAACCAGATTATGTTTCACCTGGACTCTGTTCACATAATCCTGGATGAGATGATCCAGAACGGTCACATCGTGGAGACGAACAAGAACCGCATCCTTGCTCCACTCACTGCAATCAATAAGATGGCGGATGGATGACGAGCAGGATGTCATCTGGACAGGTGTCACATTGTATATTCTATTTTTGTTAATAAAGGTTTGTTAAAAAAAATCTGGACAGGTGTGAAGTGACACCAGGAATATTTCAGTTAAATGTTTTATATCACCATGGAGGAGAGGACCAGACGCCCCCGGTTCTTTAAACTGAACTTTGAGTTCACATATTGTTTTCTGTTAACCTCAGCTGGTCTGCCTTTTGTTAAAACTGAATCATTCCGGCTCCCAACTCAAGTGATGATCCAGAGTTCTGAACCAGTTTAAACAGGATCTTTAATCTCTTTGGTGCCGCCAGTCTGGTTCTTTCGGCGGATCCGTTAGCCAAAGGGAACCGAGTCTGACGGTACCCACCAGAAATCCACTGAAGATCCAGAGACCCACATGAACCCTGATTTCCACATAAGGTAAACAATAAAATTGTTAAAAACTTCATTCAGATGTTTTTCTTTTATTATTGAAACAAGAACTAAGCGAAGGACCAGAAACTGAATGACCTGATGCTCCTTTAGGAGCATTTCACTTTTAATCACAGACCACAAGACTCCAGCTTAACTTCATACTTTGCAAACATTTTAATGATTATTTTTGGAGCGTACACATCTGAAAATATCTATTGACCCCAAACGGCAACTTCAGTTAAATAAAGGTTTATAATATACAAAGAAAATACAGGGAGAGCAGAGCGCTTTGCTTTAGATGTGCATCACAGAACCAGTGTTATTGTCTCTGCAGCTTCTGAAATAAAACACCAAAAGCTCTCTGAACTTTGACCTTTCACCTGGTCAGAAACAAACTGCTGCACACAGAAGCTAAATGGAACAATGAAACTTAAAAAGAGAAGAAAAAAAGGAAACAAAACTAAAAGTTAAACCAGGCGCTGAATATACACACACATGCACGAACGTGCGCGCGCACACACACTGCAGGATCAGGAAGGACAACAGAAACATGGGGTAGTTCTTTATTTTGATTTCTGAAACATGGACCTCCTCCATCCATCACTCAGTCAGTTGCTCGGGCAACAGGGACAGAGAAGCACATGCTCAGTGAGACAGCAGCAAAAGTCAGTTGAGGTGGAAGCCCTTCTCCATGGTGGCGGCCAGCAGACGCTCCCTCATGATGTCTTCAGATGAATATTCAGGAAGCTTCAGGTAGTGGACACATGTGTTGACCGATGGGTAGCTGGAGTCCGTAGCGTCCACCTGATGGGAGATGCAAAGATTCAGCCTGCAAGCTCCTCCCATCTCCAAAGCCTCAGCTAATCAGAGGACAGCTTTACCTTTCTGACTATGGTGAGGCGTGGGTGCAGGTTGGCCAGACCACCAGGAGGCAGTGTGGAACAGCCGGTAGTGAACTGAAGGAACGCCTTTCTCTCGTCAGACGACATCCCACATAGAACCCTAATGAAGCGCTGAAAGCCAGGGCTGGTGGGGGAGGAGCAGGAGGGGGTGGAGGAGTAAATTCATTAGATTACTCTGGCAAAGGT